GGGGCTGCCGTAGCTTTGCGCTTTGAGGAAGTGTAAGTTAGGTCACCGACCTTTCGTTCTATACTCAGAACAATTACGAGTTTAGCGGATCGCAATCCGCTTACTCCAAGAGTAATTGTAGCCTTAACCCAAGGCTAATTAACTCGTCGGTTTAAAATCAAAACTGATTTTTATTTATATTTTATCTCGATGTTAAAAATTTAGATTTTACTAAATATACTAAATATAAATAGTAAGATCAACTATTGCCTATCCATTCTTGTTTGGGTATGGGTATGTGTCACCCCGTTACATTCGTCATTTCTCGTCGCTTCTTCCAGAAAGCTGTTGACGAAATGACATCTTAAGTTCAGTTTGATATGTCAAGAATGATAAAATATCTTTAAAAATCATACTTCATGATAACTGTTTCAAGGCAATGATGCCTTTAAGTGCTTATCTTGTAAATATGCTTTAATCAAAGTAAGTTTAATGACCATTCCATTACTTGAATAGGCTGTTTAATATTTAATACATGACTGGTTGTATCAAAACAGACACTAACTTCTCGGATATTTTCCATTTAAAGTTAGTCCCCGAAAGGACATCGCAAAAAATGTTTCATATCTAGAAATTTTCTTGATTTCTAGAAGATTATCTTTGTTTTAATAAAATCAGATGAGACAAAAATAATTTGATAGTACGTCAAGAGCAACAGTTGGAAAGGCTATTTATGGGATGGGAAGAGTAGAAAAGTCGTAAGTCTTAATAAAAATTAATCACCACATGGTATTGTAGATCTGAATTGAAAGCTCCGCTATGATATGATGTAGATCTGTAATGTTTAACAAGCCGTGCAAATCTTGCGATGACGATGGGATAGTGCATGTGCGAAAAACTTGTCGCTTTGAATGTGGATAGAGCGTTTCAGTGAGCGCTTGATATCAAGTCTCAAGATTGTTTTATTTAAAGAATTGTCGATGCGAGCAAGGGGTGTACTCTCTTGTTTCAAGGATTAAAAAAATGGGTACTAAAGGTCACGGAAGTTGGACGCTCTCGGTGATAAAGGCGGTGACAAGCCAGCGCTTAATTCTATCACTACTTTTGTTAGCTGCGGTCTATAAGCTCGTAAGATTTCTATCGGATGATGGCAAAGACTTTCTCATTACAAAATCGGTGAACCAAAAGATTGTTTTACGACATGATGTGAGCTTTGAGAACAAAATGCTCCATCCAAAGTCTCTCTTTTACCAGCGAGGAGAAAACTTTGATTGGGGAGTTCGAAGAGAGTATGGAATTGTTACAAGCATGCACAATCGAGCGGTGGCGATGGGCGTCTCACTCATTCGAGAGTTACGGTGTCTTGGGAACCACGAGCTCGTACAAGTGTATCATTGTAACTCGGAACTTTCGGAGCAGCATCGGAATCTACTGCTAAGTGTGGACAACCGACTGGAACTTGTGGATGTGTGTGGCGACTTGGTGGCGAAAGGAGTACTTAACCAAACAATATCGGACACGTTTCGCAATTGGTGGATTAAACCTTTGGCTATGTATCATACTGATGTACGTCATGTGATGCTCATGGATATCGATGACATCAGTATCACTGACCCAGCAAAATTACGAGATCTTAAACCATACAAAACAACAGGTACAACATTTTTCTACGATCGAGTCCACTCGAATTGCCACGAGCACGTTAACGGCATGGATGGAACTGATCACTACTTGAAGAAGCTCCTTGCGACATTTGATTATGAACGTTTTAACGTTACAAAAGGTTATTCTCCATCACAACAAGTATTACGATCTTTCGCATACACGGGGAAAACTTGTCATGAGATGGATTCCTCTCTTGTGCTGATTGATAAAAAGCGTGCGGGGTCAAAAGTTATGGACATCATGTATTGGTTTATCACTGAAGAGCGATTTCGTTTTCGCTATTCATTTGGTGACAAGGAAACATTTTGGTTAGCATTTGAAATGGCACATGCCCCGTATGCTTTCTCGCCGTGGGGAGTTAGTGGCGTGTCCTCCTTTCCAAACCGTGATATGGAATTACACCCGAATACACTTTGTGGAAGTATCTTGCACTACATGCCTGTAGACGATGATATTCCTGAAATTTTATACGTGAATGGCAAAGCGCTTCTCGATCCGTATCCAGAAGGACTTCAGGAAGTGCCTAAGGCACGATGGAACAATATGTTTAACGCTTTTCCCACTCACATGACACCACGGCTACCAAGAACTGTTTTAAAAAAGTTTGGAGATGAAGATCACATTTACTCCGAGTGCCTTATCGATTTGGGCTCTACTCCATTGCCTAAACAATTTACTGCTTCCTTACTACGTCGCCGTTTTCATTATTGGGGAGTTCAATCTGGAATGCTCGCAACTCTTCAACTCTGCGATACTTATCATTAGTAGACGCATTTCAATTGCATGTTTAAGATATATAGCTGTAAGACTATCGCTGAAATAGCATTTTATTCAAGAGCAACTCGTTGCAGACTCAAGATGATCCCGGGAAGCTTTGCTTTCAAGCTAGTGTTAACGAGACTACCTACTCAATGATGGCATCAGATAAGCGTCAATGTGCATATTCCATTTTTCTGCATGAATCCTATTTTCGTTTTCGACATCTCACGAAACATACTATGAGAGCATTGCAACGTCTGGATTTAAATCCTAACATACCATACTGATTGCTAATTGGTATCGCTGATCGTCGCGAACGGATCAAAAAGCAGAATGCTCGCCAATCCACATTCATGAATGCATCTAAGAACGTTAGCCAACAATACGGCACTCATCGAGCTCACCTCACACGGCTTTTTAGAAATGCATAAAGTAGCGCAGCGTTACCACTGGCATTATGCACTTCACTGTGTAATTCCACACATTAGAGCAGCACGTGAAGTTCGTTAACGTTTGCTATCCAAATTTGTTGAGCCAATTTATCAAATGCCAAGCTGTACAAGCTGATCGTTACGTCCGAAATTGCCCAAGACTCAATTGGAAGTTTCAATAATTCCAGCACGCGATTGATAAATTGGACTTGCTGTTGCTGGTAGCAACTTCATGTATTCTAAGGTGCAAGAGCGATGGCTAATATTGTCACCATTATCTCCCCATCTGTGTGGCTTTCAAAGATAAAGCTGATTTACTGAATTGATACTCTTCATTAAAATACCGATAAGATTAGGATGGCATCTACGATTGAAGTTATGCAAAGACGGCATTGCCAATACGAAAGAGATCAAGAAGCAAGAGTAGCTGCGATGCTTGAATCCATACAAAAGTGAGAGCTTCTCGTAAATCATTCTAAACAAATTATTAGCCAATCCTTAGACGAAGTTCTGACGGTTAGAACCTTATACAACGCTTCAGCACATATTCAGCACCAGTCAAAGTTTTGGCAGTTAGCGACGATCACAAAGAGATCCAAGAGTGAGATCCGTCGATAAACTTGACAATACAATGCAAAGCCAGCGACAATCGTATCGTAGCGAACTTACGCAGCAGCATTTGGAGAATTCGACACGCAAAGAGCGCAAACCTGTGTGCAAATGGACGGAAAAGGAAGATCTACTAATGATCAAGCTCGTTCAAAAGTATGGTACACGTCATTGGACAGTTATTGGCACGAAGCTTCCTGGTCGTAATGGCAAGCAGTGTCGCGAAAGGTAAAGTCCTACGTTGTTGATTGGTTACAAGTTGGATACTTACAAAAGCTAGACAGGTGGCATAATCAACTTGACCCCGCAATTCGAAAAGAGCCGTGGACACCGGATGAAGAGCGAACTTTAAAAAAATTACATGACACATTTGGCAACAAATGGGCAGAGATTGCTAAGCTGCTGCCAGGGAGGACAGACAATGCTATTAAAAACCACTGGAACTCTAGTAAACGACGACTGAAGCGCAATGGTCCGTCAAATGATTTGCAACGCAAGTATCTTGATACTTCCAATGCATCAAATGAAAAGAATTCTTTGAGATTACCACTCGGTGTCGATGGTGCCTATATCTCCAATTTGCGACTCTTGAATAAAGGTGATTGTTCGAATCTGGATCCGAATAATTTGCAAGCACCATTTGCTTTTGGTAAAGCTCAAGACTTCTCGCATGGTACAATGTGCTGGACCCCAACGGTTTTAAGTCATGATCGTGCAAATGCAATGTGGGGAATCTCTACTTTGGTCTCGCCCGATGTCATCAATCCACTTTCCACAGCCACGACGATCGAGCCAAGGAGAACCAAACTCATGTCTGACCGAGCTCCTGTGATAAATGGCAAACGCCTTTTAAATAACTTGAATGATGAACAGTTGCCGATTAAGTCGAATTTGAAGAAAGAAGATCCATCACTGGAGATTCTGGCCAACGCAGCGCTATTGCAATCAATAGGGCATTCTGTGTAGTGTTATTGAAAGTATTATGTGGTGAAGTTATGCAGTAGGAAGTAGTAAGTTAAATATTTTGCCATTTTTCGAAAATCCTAAATTTTCCTAATAAACATAGTAGGTACGAAAATGTCGAAACTGTTATTACTCTTCCTCCCAAGTCGTGTAAAATGTTGAGCCAAATCGTCAAGCAAACTGCTAGCAAAATGAGCGCTGTAAGCTGCCGTGGAATCTCATCGTCGGCCAAACGCATGTCTGCCGAAGGTGAACATCATCAGCATTTGGTTTTTGAAGGCGACTTTTCCAAACGCGTTGTGCTCGGATTGACCCTCTTTGTTACGTTGGGTGGCATGTCAATTCCTATTGCCTTGTATCGCTACCAGAACTGGAAGCACGGATTCCCTCAGCAGGAAGCATGAATTAAGTTTTGCCTGGAATGAAACCCTTGAGATCGAGAAAGCGACGTCGTTTGCGCGATTGTAGTGTTCGATTGAATAAACAATAGTATTCTCATTTCTTTTCTTTTTATAATTGACTTCTCTATCCTTATCGTTGGTGTAGGAAGAAAGAGCTGGGGGTGAACGTTGTATGATGTCTACGAATAAGTAAAGTTCGTTTTATTAGAGGTGTCAGTAAGTCTCGTTCCCTATCTTGACGGTATCATTCCCAGGTTGTAAATTACCAGTGCACGCGTACAAAGTGTATCACAGTTCATTTAGATGCCTTATGATATTGCTTGTCTCGACGATCTCCCACGACGTCGTCGTTAGTGGCTTCTGGGTCGATGGTGGAAATTTTTAAGGCAGTATAAATCTCAAATTAATGAGCCGAGTACTTTGAAATACGTCAAGAATGAGCAGGATGGTCAAAGGAGCTGGCAGCAAATCCAGTAGTTCGTGGTGCACGTAAATTGCTTACAGAACGGGAGAGAACATCTAATCCCTAGCGCAAACTGTAACGTTCATCCACTCAGCACGACAAGTACTGCAAATTATACTAGAAGAGTTGAGATCGTGATTTAGTAAGACCATGAGTTTGTTTCACGAAGACTCCACAACTTTCGGATTGTGTCAGATAAGGTGCTGGAGATACACCATTTATCTGCAGCTACATGCATCTGTCGAGTACACTTGTGCAAAGCAGAAAGATACTCTGTTAACTCATCTGAGGATAGATGAACTAGCTGGTTTAGCAAGGCTAGCAGTCTCTCACCCACAGCCGATGCAGCTTTTGAGCCATGTGCGTACATGATCACTCCGAAAGGCAGTAATTCGGTTTTCAAATGCATTTTGAAAACATCCGATTGCAAATTCTGCAGCAGTTGATACTGCTCATGCATTGTACATACATTCCAAATGAGAACATACACCATGATACCAAATAACGCGCGTTCTTTAACAGCGTCCGCGTAAACCGATGATTCGAAAGCAGAGATGTCACGACTGAAAGCATCAATCACGTCTAGAAGCGAGGAAACGGTCTCATTCGGGTTTGTGTTCTGAGCAATCAGTGCACCCATTTCAGCAAGAAGTGGCTCTAAAAATGCATTGACAAGTGTCTCATTCGACCACTCGTTAAAACTATGACGTAAGATCCACTGAAAAACGAGTGATGCTTCACGTTTTGATATCGTAAAGCGCTTTAACTTGGCAAGATTGACAAAGATAACTCCTTTTTGCCACCAACTCCACAGAAAACTGTCTGACTTGGTCGACAAGAGGAAAATGTCAGCGAAGCCACGCTCACCATAGTCAAGTTCAGACAACACACGAGAAGTAAATTGCTCGATAAGATGAGAACCATGTGGCTCCAATGGAAGTTCATTGACAATATCATCAAGAATAAATTGTTTTGCCATATCCATTGACATCTCTGGGATACAGGAGTTGGGTTTGAGAATGTTGTGTAGCATAGCCGTCCAACTGTCGAAAAGAAGAACACAGCGTTTACTTGAAATGTCATGACACCATAAATCCCTTACATAGTGAAAGATTTTTGTCAGCAGTCTACGTAGCATATCTGTTTCAACGCGGGTAGCCGCGTGCGGTACCCACATGATTAAAGCAGCTTGAAGCGTTGCATCCGCGTTTCCAAACCATCTTAACGAAAGTAACTCATTTGCTACCAATTTATCACAACTCGCTTGCGTCGCAGCAAATTCAACACAAGCAACACTTACATCAACTGAAGAAAACCTCAACATCACGCTTTGGACAAAAGAGGTGAAATCAAGCAAAGGAAGTACTTGGCCTGTTGATGTCAGGCAGCGTAACAACGACGACGCATTACGGATTTTTGACGTATTTTCAGATTCAATTAAACTCGATGGATCTGTAGACCACAGCCATTGAAGTGCCTTGGATGACATACTTTTTATCGGAAGAGTACGAATCTCAGCATCAAACAATTTCTTCTTTTGTACTACGTAAAATCGCTCTGCTGCACGTGCGATCGCGCCAACGACGGCATATGAAAGGCTACATACACAATTGTTTTCGACTTGAGCAGCATGAACCAATATAGAAACGGTCTCCGAATCAAGCTTAAGCTCCACACAACCCTCCACATTTAAAGGCTCAGTAACAAAGGATCCGGACATACCAAACGGTAAGTAAAAGAAATTTGCAATAGCCATCAACATCAACGATCGCATTGCGATACTATCGTGCTCAAGACCTTTAGAAATCTGTTGTATAGCGGATTTCGTTTGCTTTTGCGTAGCACTGCGGAATCCTCCAAAAGAATCCACGCGACACAATATGTGCGCCACTGACATCATTAAAAATCCACGGTCAAGACTATTAGCGTTTGAGGTGGCAGCACGTTCAATAGCATCAGCTACGAATTGCTCTAAACTTGCTGACTGAACCAGGTTGTGGTGCACACAATGAAGTAAAACAGGTCCTAATGCAATTGCCGTCACATTAGCAGATGTATTCGACTTCCAAACACTTATAAGCAAGTTTTGCACGTGATTGAGCCAATCAACACGTTGAATGCTTGAGAATCCGCTAGCTAATCGTGCTAAACCCGTAAATGATGCCCATTGCACAAGAATATGAGGTGAACTTTGGTTAAAGCTGCTTTCAAAAGTAGTTGATTCGATCGCTATAGACGAAGGAAAGATTGTCTCTTCAGGCAAATTGTGCTGCATTTTGCCAAACAATCGTTCGAAAATATGGTCAGCAATCAATTTTACCTGATGCTGTCTCCAGTGGATCAATTTGGACGATTCTAACTCTTCCCCATTCATGTAGAGAGTGGCGACGTGACTTAAACCCAAGACTGCGAACGCGACTACCAGATCGTCCGACGAGCTTATGGATACATTCTTAAACAATCTCTGAATCTCTTCAAGTAAATGATAAAAGCTGGCATCGTCTTCTCTCGAACCAGTCTTTCGTCGACCGAGAGAAAGCTGAATTGCAAGTAAAACTCCGAGCTTTGAGCTTTCATCATCACTTTCGTAGCTTGAAAATACCCGTGATTGTTCAATCGACAAAGCAAGTTTTCGTGAAAAGTCGTGAATTATGTCGACGCATTTTTGACGAAGTTGTGGATTCTTCCAATGTTTTGAGGAACACATTTGTCCGATCAATGCACCAGCAGCCACTTGGCCCCCTATTTTGTTTGGACATTCGCACAATAACAAATCCAACAAAAGAGTCACCTGCTCTGTAAACACACGAAAAGCGACATCCGCGTCATCGACTCCAGCTGGTGTTTTAAGCTCTGTCAATACGTCCAGTGCAGACAAATACGTTGCCATGAATCGCCACCATCCTTCCATTAAAGCATGAGTACTCAAATATACCCCACACCAATCATTTGCATCCTTAGAAGATGATTCCCACGGAAGGTTCATTCGATTAAGTACCTGGGTGACAGTTTCCAGTATCTCTTGAACATTTTTCGTCGCAAGACGCACAAGTTTGTCTTTTCGCTTGCCGAGTGTCATATCAACTAGTGCCTTTGGCTCATAAGTCATCAAATAACCACTGACATCCGCATAAGATGATGTCTTGGATTGTACTTCTGCACTCGATGGGAAAAGAGTCTTTATCTCTTTAGTTGCTGCAGCTGAAACAAATGCAATTGAAGTCATTTGTTGAGAGCCATCTTGCCGTCTACGCTGTCCTCGTCCAGCTACAACAGAGAGTCTCATTCCCTCGTGCTCGATAACTTTCGAAATCAGTGTTTCAATCTCAAGTCGGACATCGGTATCATTTTCACTTTCAAGTCGACGCATTAATTTATCGCATTGCTCCTCAACTTTCTCTTCTAACGTTTGATGTCCATCCTCACCTTCTTGCTCATCAATGTTATCAGGTGGCACGCACAGTCCTACCATTTGCAATGGAAACTTGTTCATCGCTGCGTATGCAGCCTTTCGTACATTTGGGAATTCATTTTCGACAAACTCCCACGTCTGGCGAAGCAACTCAATTGTATATCTTTCATTACCAGTGTAATCTACACAACCATTTGAATAAAATACGCATAGACGTTCTTGGAACAATGGCTTGTCAGCGCAGCAAATTTTGTTCTTGCGCACCTTTTGAGCAATGATTCTAAATGCAACATAAAAGTCCAAACAATCACCTTGACACAAGGCCGTAATGGCATCCATAGCCATGGAGGCCACAGATTCCAGCTCGTCTTCTAGATATCCTTGTATAATAGAGACAAACTGCACACCCACTTCCGAATCTTTCTCGCACAATCGTTTTATTAATGACATTCGAATGATATGACGCTCAAGATCGTCATCAGGTGAGCTGGGCTCGAGCAGCATTGTTTCCAACCTTGGAAAAGTACGTGATTCTGTGAGATACACCTGATACAAGAGCATGATCGCCGTCGAGCGCATGTTAACCGTGTGATTCATCTGATCAATGAGACGCAGAATGATTCGCATAGTTTCCGTCGTTGTAGCCGCTAGTCCTGCTAATGAATATAAGCACGAAGTCATCCATTGTCCGGATCTGAGAGTGACAGATTTTTGTTGAGATACGAGAAAAAGTATACTTGCCACGAGTGCGTTTGTTGTATGACAATCCCAAAATTTAGGGCTCTGACGCACTTGGCGCTCTAAACATTTTTCAGCACAATTCTGAATAGAAGATCGTGGATCCGATAGCAATGCCACTAAAATTAACGCAAGCCAATTATTTGCAGTTGAAACAGTCATCGAAAGTGCACTATCTTCAGACGAAAACAATGAGTCCAGCCACCGCTGACAACTCTCTTCGTCACTAATCAGCTGTACAGCTAAACGAGCATGAGCGGCACTTTCCGTCAAAGGCGCATTGGAATAAATCGATTGCTTGTATTGAAAAGCGCCTTTCGATTGGATCACAATCACCTGTTGAAGCAGCTCCGTTGCCGCCCTTCCATGACTCTTGAGCAACGAGGATAGAGGTAGCACAAGAATCTCCACATAGACACTTCGACTTTCCAGGTGATTCAAACGTTCATTTCGTTCAAACTGTAGGATATAATGCAGCACTTTCAGCATTAACTGATGTTCAAAAAACGTCTTACACTGGTTTGTCAGAAAATACGCAGTCAAAGTGAGAAATTCCGAGCACCAGAGGGCTTCGGGTATATTTCGTGCCAACTGCTTTAAATATTGCAACAGAGCTAAGACGCCAACGTCTTTTTCAATCAAAAGTTGCACTGATACCAGAACAAATCGTGCTGTTCGTGCTGCAAGCATAATATTTTCCTTGCTCTGAAAGCTAAATGAAGTCAAAATGTCCACGACCAACGCTACGTGCGCTGTATACGCGACTTGAGTGAGCTGTGATTGAGGAACAAGCTCCAAGGCTTCAACCAGCATCAGTGTAGCAGCTGTCTGGATCGTTATATTGTCATCAAATTGCCACGTTATCGAAGCCATAGCAGCAAGTACACTCGTCTTACGGCCATCACTTTGCAATGAATCGATAAGCACTGATTTGATGATAGTTGAGTAGAGCTCTAGTGTTTTTTTAACTCGCTCAATGTCGACTTGAGGACTGAAAATCGGTCCATCAGCAGCTGTAAGAGCTGCCAAATAACCAGATAGCACGTTGTGGTTGGTGTGCAGGGTTTTGTACAATATTGCACGCAAAGCAGACACTTCATGAGTCTTAAGTAAGGAAACACATTGCTGGAAGAGTACGAAACCAAGAAACTCAGCTTTACTGACTGGTTCATTGCAAATAGCTGCAGCTTGTTGTAGTTTCTCGTGCAAGCTTTCAGTCAATTCGATAGAGTGACGATGAGTTTTGATACATTGCTGCAATCCTACAGTGACAAAACGCAGCAGAGAGGATGACTAATAAAGTGGTAGAGTTGACACATTTGGACGCACCAAAGACGAGATTTTGCGCTTCTGCAAGTGAAAAGGTGGCAACGAGAAGGTGAATTGCCTCATCAATGATACGAAGGGCAACCACAGTACTTGATGCTTGTCGAAGCGTCTCAAGGAGCGCAGCCACAGTCGGTTTTCCACCCGTCATGTATTTATCAAATTTTCACATTAATTAGCCAATCAGCTATCCCATTTATTTGTTAGAATTCGTCAAACATGTATTTTGGCGATTTGCTTTGTAGATTTCTCTTTTTCAACACATCAGTGTCGACGTATGACACGAAAAGCACAACTCGAACGGCGCGAGTTATATAATAGCCTAACCACCCGAGCCAAGCGAAAAATTACAAGTAAGACGCGATCTTAGCTTACGGATGAACTTAGACAGCTGGCGTAACTTGTTGATTAGCTGTTGCGCCAGTCACCGTGTTATGGCAACGTTATTGATACACAGCTTTAATAATCATCACAGAACAGTACATTTAGCTATTAAACTATTTACATCATGAGCCCAACGGTTGCTGTCGTTGAGTTATTCATGATCTCCATTTCATATTATTGGTAGAGACGGTCGTTGAGCCAAGCTGTTGTGCTAGCTTGGATTCTACGAGCTGAAAGCTTCTACTGTGCAAGATGCCAGAGTTATTCCGTTGCGCATAGTATATGAAATGGGGTACGTGCACTACTGAGGCGAACGTACACTTTAAAGATTTATAACTAAGCGCAAACTAAGTACTAGTATCAATTACACTCGGTCCAAAAGAACTTTGTAAGGGGGGGTGGTAGTGGGACACGTGCTGAGGCTACGCATGGGATATTTTGATAGTAAAGGGTACGTTTCAGTATCGATATGAGCACAATATGTCACTTTTGCTCCCGAAAGAGCTCTCGTTTCCGCCACTGGATGGAGATTACGAACCCACCGTCCGTTCATATGTAAACGCAGACTCGTTAAGTCGATACTTCCACTCACGATAATCCCGTTGCGGATTGCGTATCAAATCATGGTAAACGTACACATTACACTATTCTTTCGTGAAGCTCAAAGGTATCAATGTGAATTACCGTGATGAAGAGGGATGATAAGTACTCGCTTTACGTGAAGGTGATAGCACTTCAACACCTGGGACACGTCAGTTACTAGCTTTACGCCATGCATTGTATGTTTGATATTGTGCACTGTATAACCCATATGGCCTGCATTAAAAAAAGTATAAGGCTCTTAAATCGTGGGCAGGCCAATCCTTTGTGTGCTAGTCAACACGCATCCTGAAAGTAGAAGCTTTTACAAAGTGACCTTTATCGATTAGATCGTTGATTGCTCGTCGCATGTATACTCACTCATACGTTCTGCAATTGTACGGATGCGATTGTATATAACCTACACCTTCGAAGAATGTGAGTTTTCAAAATACCAAATTAGTGATAACAATGAAGATGATGGGACTCCTTAAAGAGAAGCTCCCTTGCACATGTGAGCTGATAAAAAAACAAGGATAGTTTATTGTTGGATCTATTTAGCATTCGTTAAAATGAATTCAAGCCAATCTTAAAATAGCAGAGCAACCAAGTTCACGATTTTATTAGATGCTTCCGGCTTCGCTTTTGGGATCAGTGTGGGGCACAACCTCTGAGGTTTTTTTAAAGAACATCGGACTCCGTTTGTGCAACTTGCATGGCGACTGTACTTGGAGTCGATCACACGACCGGTTCAGGACGAAACTTCTATAATGATAAACAATGTTGTTGATTACCTGTTCCCGGGACAAAACGACATGCCTGGAAATGTCCTGCCCATTGCTAGCTTTGGAGATTAGATTGTTAGTCCAATACCCAGACTCGGTAATTGCGTACCTTGAGGTGCTTACCAGTCATAAGAAGAGAATGCGCTGGTAAGACACCTCCAACAGTATTTCAATGGGACGCCATCAATAGCCCAGAGGACACGTGTTATAAGGTCGTTAATGTTTACTGTTCAGTTCTTTGGAAGCAGTGACAGGAAAGCCTCACTGGATATAAAAATCTGGAATGGTCATGATGTGACCAAGCTCCTGACGTATAACGAAAGTTTCGCTCCCGTGGTCCTCAAGCTCGGAGGATGTGCGCGATAACGACCGTCACTACGTAGTACCATTATGGAAGAGCACTGAAATACTCAAGTCACATATTTAGCGGGAGTTTGCACCGCATTACCAGGCGTATCGAGCGCATCCTTGATTCTTATCCGTCATAGGTTGCGAACTAGGTCCTGCTTTTGAGAATTGTTTTATCCGCAATGGTGTCAGACAATCTTTGATAGTGATCGCAGATACCATATTAACGTTTTTTTCAAACAGATGTGGCTTGCATTGAGATCTTCGACGTCCAGCCAACCTTTTTGAAAAAGCGGTGGGTATCGAAGGAAAACGGAGTACATTTTCGTCCGGATGGGTTGCCGAAAATGGAAGCTCCATGATCACATCAGAGGGAATAAATTTTTGTGATAATGGGAAAAATAATTCCTTCAGCCCAATTGTGCTTGCAGAAGTTTCATATGTATAAGTACAGCACACTTGCGACTTGCGTGTCCCCTTATCTCTGTCAAAACGAGATTGAAATCAGCTTTATCCAAAAAAAATATCAAATTCCGTGCGCACACGGCATTGCTATAGCCATAACACCGCCTTGCTCATACGATCCAGTTGGATATGAATATCTCTGTTGGAGGATCTGCAATTCTGTCATCCTCTATAGCCGAGGTACCTTTCGCTCTAGAGCAGCAACGCGATTCTACGACACTGAGAATGCCTCAAGCCATGCAGTGCGATTGCCTAACTAAGAGTGTGCATTTAAAAGGAGATTCAGGTGAAATTTGACCACAAGTTGTGGCCCTCGGAGACAGCAACATGTTGCCACAGCCGATTAAGCGCGCGTAAACCATCCGCGGATTAAGCAAGAGGTTATATACTTTCGCGAAACGATTCGTGAGTCAGCGGGTACTCCAAGGGAGTTTACCAGCTATTGGCGAAGAGGCAGAAATATATTTGATACAAAACTCATGGGAGCTTAAATCCTATTTTGGCAAGATCGCCCTAGACCCGTTGCCGCTTATGATCGGGTGCACCCTCGGCATTTATCTTCTCTAGGAAAAAGACTGGCTTGCCTGTCGCAGGGCATTTTTGCTAGCGACTGGGTACCGACCTTTTCAATATACATAGATTTGGTCGTGGAGATAAATGGGGCCCTAATAGCGCAAGATGACGATTAATTTATGGTATCAACGCTGATTCCAAGGGGTAGCCATAAACAACCTTACAGCAATCACGGTGATCGTAGCTATCCCCACAGACGTGCCCGGATTCGAACCAAGGATATCACCGCCTCAAGGTGCAGGATAGACAGGTGGTGAGCTGAATGCACCGCTGGCAGCCGCCAACCACCTCGGCTTTTAATGTCTTAGATTTGCTTGCTTCTAGACCCGACCATAGAAGTCCATGTGGTAGTGCATATCCCGATCAAAAATCGCCTCAATCACCCAATGTGATTAATTTTAACCGGTGGTTCTCGTGCTTTTTAAAGAGGAAATGGACCTGATTCATTTGCATACACAACATTTAGTTTTTTGTTCGACAATTTCTCGGCTGCAGACAACAGATAATATAAAGAGAGTTATAGTCTTTATTGACCTAATCCTGTGTACAAGCTTGCCTTTGGACAAAGACCGTTAGCGGTTGCTCACTGCCGATTTGTTAATTCCCTGCACTTTTGCACGCAAGGTGCTGCTTACCAACCCGCTACAACTATGATGTACGTACACGGCGCACTAGTATCCCTCAGACATTGTGCAAAGATCAGAAGTACTACGCAGCTCACTAGTGTACAGCGATCGGGTATCATGATCAGGGAAAGAGTTAGTGGAATCCACAGAGGAGAGATCTGTAGTGAACAAGGGCTGCTATGCAATACTAGAAGTGCTATCATTCTGAATGGTAAACCAGTATATTATTGTAAATCAGAGCAAGACTCAAACTCAAATACTTTTTTCTTGAAAAGAAGAGGAGATTGCATCCTACTTACATGTGAGGCTCGTAGTTTTGCGTCTGAGGGAAGGGGATTTGTTTGCCCGAATTGTTTGCTTACGCGATTCTGGGGATCTCAAGCTTTTTTATCAGCGCGATGGTCGGCAATATCGTCGCACTATGGGGGTATCAAAACATCTCCATTATACGTGCAGCATTCTCTCTCGGCTGGGAGATACGTAGGGTTGAGTCACCCACGCAGAGTCATTCAACAACCTTCCATGGGCATCGTCGACCATACTTTAACGCAGGGTGGGTTTCTGGGGCGGTGACACCTCAAAGAAGTTGAGGTCAATGGAACCTAGCCCCAAACGGCATAATTGATATGACTTCATTCGTTCCAGCCGTACGGACTGGGGTAGATACTCTGTAACAGAGGCTTGGTAGTTTTATAGGAAATTTCAACGGCAGGAATACTGCCAGGCGCAATCTTAAGGCTATACGTATCTGGTGGCGGTAGTAAAGTGCTGTCCATCAGGCTGATCGGAAGTGAGGATAACGCTTTTGGCAATTTTTAAGTGAAACACATTACTAAAGTGCCTTTTGGTTTAGTTTGCCGGCTCCACCGGAGTATTAGCTGTCTATCAGAAGACACATCCGATCTAACCGGCATTGGGGGCTTTGTGAGCTTTGTGAGCTTTGTGAGCTTTGTGAGCTTTGTGAGCATGATGACTCATTACGCTATCCAAATTAACACCATTACCAGTGATTATACAGCGAGCTGTTCCTCGACAAAGGCTTCCGCTAAGATGACCAGCTGGCGGTATTTATATTGATACAGATGCGTGCTTTACCGCGATTTTGGTGAGATTTGTTCACGGTTCTAGGCACCAGATTAACCATATGAATGGCTGGTCAATCGCAGATGCACAGTCAGATAAAATACGGTTGTGGAATGGAAGTGAATGTTTTTGAAGCCATTGATTGGGGAGGTCGCGATGCTGAAACAAGATGCATCCACTCGTCACTAATGAAAAAATATGCTCCAGCAGAACAGCTTGGCATCGGTTGAGTATCTCACGTCAGTGTAATTGATCGCGGGACCGTTCAGTATCATCAACGTGTTCTGGTTGTAGCATACATTCTTGATCGCACGCATTGTTTTGCTGCTGGGATTGCTTTTGCAGAGTATAACATCTGTAGCATAACAAGGATACCAAACGTTTTTAAGCAAATATAACCTTGCCAGTGCTTACTGATCGCTTGTTTCCCCGAATACATTCTGCGAGGATCTGGATAGAATGATCACCAACTTGCAAATAGCCCTCTGAACCGCGGACCATTTAGTTTATTGCATCATGATCGCTGGTATATACCCCTTTTTCATGGTGTTTTTAAAAACTCAGCGTCATAAAAAAGAATCGAGTGCGATGAAGTAGCTTTAGCTGCCTCGATCCACGCTACATGCGGAAACAAAAATGTCCAAACCCGTAAAATGCATGGAGCCACAATTGGTCGGCTCAAGAATCTTACTCGGTCCTTCTTGTTGTTTACAGTATGGTTTCTCTGCGGTTTAGGTGCCCTCCCAAATGAGGCATGTTTTTTGTTTCGCATTGCCATTATAAAATTCAGACACTGTAAAGCATAGAAGTTTTTACACGTGCGAATCGTAGATCGGATGAATGTAGAGATTCGATTGAAACCGTAGCGGTGACGATATGCCAAGCACAACGCTTGGCTGTGAATGGCGACGATAACGTCTACTACTGCTGTATGATAGCGGGGTCTGTGCGCTTGAAAAGTAAACGACGATCATCTTCCGCATATCGTAATCTTTGGTGCCAGTTTGTCTTGGAAGCAGGTCGGCCATTATACCCTTAACGTAGCACTCAGGCTTAGTATCCCTTTTCCTGGCAATATCGTATACGAGCTAGATTCTCACGTCACCGTGCTGCAGATGCAACGCTTTCCTGTGGCTTCTGCTCATTATTATCTTTATCGACCTGGGACGAATGTTTATCTAGATCACTTCATGAAGCTCACGTAGTCTACGTCCAACATGCAAACCTGAAAGAATATGACAGTATTCATACCCTAAGTCTGTTTTTTTACACGTTAGTTGTTCATTTGATTACAATTCGAAATAACTTTTCCCGTGACTGATTTCTGATGGATCTTGTCAACTGCAGCTTTTACACCGCTTTGGCTGCATAAAAGTTTACATCGCTGTCTCTTATCTTAGTGGCTTGCATAACTTATTGCAGTATTTAATTTCTTTAAGGTTATTCAGGTCTTCAATCGCAAATCGTTGGCTGCTTGATCTTCATCATTGTAATATTCACCGCAGAGCAAATAGCCAGACGCGAACATCTATGAATCTATCTAATCTTTCCATCAAAGATCGATTTTCGCTCGTACCGCGTTCGAAATCGATGTCTCTATACATTTGCTCTTATCGCTGCTTTAAACTTTCACTTACAGCCTCATCGATGATGAGTACCAGACAATATTGTCTGATCAACTTGCCGATGCTCAACCCGATTTATCTATCAACTCAATACAAATCCTCATGGGCTTCCTTATCCTTCCCAGTTTTTTTATCGACGTGTCGTGACGTTTGTGTTCGTCAAGCTTCCACAACGTAACAAGCATAGTAGCCATGTCTCTCCTTGACACTTGTGCTACCGACACTTATAATATCTGTAATGCACCACGTAATTTTCAAAGCCACCCTACGAGCGCAAGAACTTGCTCTACATTTAACTTTCTTGGCGTAGTTCCTACATCCATTTCTTGAGCTTCAACACTCAAGTTCTTTACTCAGAATGTTAAACTAAAAAAACGAGTTTCCAACATATAAAACAGTTACACCTTGCGGGAACATTTGTGATTTTCCAATGCCAGTTGACGTGTGCGTATTATTATGCCATTGTGTATCGCTAGTAAGCCACATCGTCCCACAATTAACTTGGCTGTGATCTTTCGTAACAGCAACAAACAATTAATACAAATACTTTATTGATTTGGATGCCAGTAGTCTTATCCCGAATCGCTCAATTGCGCCATCTGTATTGATCTTGGCCTAAATCTCTAATCTGTATGAGCCGCGTGCGGTGGCATCGTCAATACCCACACCCATTCTCCATCAATACAGCATCCCTATATTCTCCAGCTACCTATCATGCTTTCCTGTTGCCAGCTGGGTCTGCTTCCTGGACACCTGTTGTACGACTTATTTCCACTTGCCCTTGTACCCGTCACGCTCCATCCTTCCCACCTCTTTGCAAATTCAACGCCGATGTATCACTCAACCCTTTTTCTTGCAAGCAATTTATTCTTTTGTTTGCTTTTGGCCTTGGCGAGACCCTATGAGCGGTCAATTCATTCTCAGGGGCCATCTCAGCAAAATGGGTCAACTCGCTAGTGTAAGCGGCAGAAAAATCCACCCAAGATATCCCGCGAAAGATCTCAAAGCTAACATTACTTGTTGGTGTCCGTTACTTCCGATCTATATTCGCGCTTTACAGCACTATAGGTTTGTTATGCACTATGTCAACGTGTTAATATACTGTATAGTCTGAGGTACTGCGACAACCATTTCCTTTAGCAAACAATTTGTAACACCACAACTTGTATCAATGATCAGTTGACATTGCCTCTGACATTGCATATTTCACTCAGCAATTAGTTCTTGGTATCGACTTACACTGTGCAGGTCAGCTTAAGAAAAAATAACTATTTGTTTTCAAGCTCGGCGAGTGATTCCTGTTTTCAGTATAGGCCGCGTGTTCCGTCGCTACTGACAAAGACACGAGTAATCGTCCATCTGCAAGCATCGGCTTTGCACCGTGACCGTTACAAAGCGATGCATACTTTTCTCATCCTCCATTGCTCGCCTGATAAGGTGACCCGCAGATTTTTCCTTGCTATCATGGGTTCTAACAGAACATATCCTACGGGTGGTACTCTCTGCCTCCATCAGTCCTCAATACGTGGATAAGTTATTTGACTCATTACCCGTTGTAAGCCAGATAGTTTATCAATTTGTACCACCGCACCTTTGGTCTTCATCAGAAACACTGTGCAGTGTTTAGATAATTAAATTGATCATATACCAATGTTCCAATCTGTCCCAAAGGTTAAGTTCTGAGCATATTACTTCCAGATTACGTCAAACGTCGCGCTCATATCGTTTGTGAGTGATAGTTTGTGATTGCTTTGCCCTGACAAATAGCCAAGTCATATTTGCTCACTTGGTCCGTGAGTTATATCCTCTATACCAGATCTTTGAACTTCTTGATGATTGTATCGCATTCCAGATACGTCAACTATAATGGGATTACACGTACCCTGGTATAAAGGGGTTGGTCACACAAGATGGTGTGAGACACAATGGTATGGATTAAGAAGCCACTACGTGGCGGGACTGCCAGTAGTTATGCATTTAATTAGGCTTTGCTATTTAATCAGGAAAACCTAAAGATTTAGATGTAGACGGATCTGCCGCGAATAAAATAAATACCGTCTGGATTTTGAGCGAAAGAGTGTATTTACCGTGGGTTAAGACTTTGGGTGCTCTTGGAGTTAGCAAATTGCGATCCGCTACACTCGTACTGGCTCTAGTATAGTACATAAGGTCGGTGACCTTAGCTTAGCTTCCTCTAAGCAAAGATCTACGGCTGCCTATCTCTATCAGCCGTCAATAGAAATGCAAAACTGACAGCGCCTTATACCGCATTTTCCTTTTTGAAAAAAATCGACATAATAACATGTCTGGAAGACCTTTTGTCTATCCCTTTTGAGCGCATTTTAGACTTCTCCGCAACAAACACCGCTCATTCTTCGCTTATTATTGATCACAACTCACTGCGTGCCACGATATGATGGCTAGTATACCTCGGCTTTCAGTGCTCGTAAACTGTATGACCGACTGTGCACTCGAATCAATTTATCCAGCACCAATCTTTGCAACATCACGCGGCCTCTGATTGTTATTTTTATCGCTTCTGATCAGTCGCTACACACTCGCGGCCTCTGATTGTTATTTTTATCGCTTCTGATCAGTCGCTACACACTCGCGGATCTAGTCTTTAACATAAGGAAGCATGCTGAAATTTGAAATCAATTGTGACTTAAACCACTGTCAAGTATCGAGTCAACCTGATGGGGCTCAATCACACAAAGCATTAGCGCAGAATCCATACTGTCTTCTACAGCTCAGCTCCTGATCTTAATGTCTATTCAGGTTACCCCTCTTTTCGTACACTTTCGCGGGATCTTTATCACTACGACGTCTCTAGCTAGCGTACTATGTCTTTCCTCAAACCCCGCTGATTTGGAGCAGTGCGTAGCACATAAGCTTGTCAAAGGCGGTTCGTCCATGTCAATACTATCCTAGTATACAACAATGACACCCATTGCAATATCTGCGCCGCGAACGGCGTCATTGAAGTACCTTTCCGCTGTCGATGATTCGACCTTGATGCCTTCCGACTTCTAAAAAGTATTTATGTTCTATGTAGTTAATATATGCTCTGCGAAGTGTTACATAGCAAGAGCCCAACACCAAAGCTCATAGACAAATTTCCTACCTTCGGTAGGCACCGTGTACTAGTTCTTTTGGGACCACTGCCCATAATTTTACTGCTGTATTCTGAAGGTGGGATCCTTTTGGGCAGCGGTTTCCTAGCAATTGGGCCTCTTTAATGCCCATATTGAGCTCCTAAGGTCGGTCTTGTAAATCATCAGGTTATCTATTCGTTTACCTGGACCAGTAAGCTACTGTAATGTATTCTCATGTACACCTTGCTGCCACATCATTAACTCCCATTTGCCTGCATGTCTTGAATGTCCACACGAGCCTACTGATTTGGTGCACATTCATATCGCAGCTAAAATTACATTGATATTCTACTATATGAGTTATATGACCCTTACAGATCAGAATGATCAAATTTAAAGCTCATCAAAGTCGGCTGCGTCATGGAGTGGGACTAGATGGATCGCCTAAAGTCCTTCTGACGAGCATTTAAGGTAGTGCATGACTTCTCAGAGCAGATGGTAATATACCGTGGGGTTGTATCCGGCTTTCGCTTGCTTCGTGTCTTGTATTAAATAATTTATAGACAAAAATGTTGAGCATGCTTTCAAGGCATATCACTACTAGGATGATTAAGTACTTTCGACACTATACAACAGCTAATAAACTATGGGGATTGTGACACATGTAGTTGAGCCTTAGCTTTTGTTCTTTTGACGCTTTGATCACGATATTTCGACATTCAAACTATATTCAACGACGTCTGGATCTCTAACTTCCAGTTTCTTAAACCTTTCTTAATCAACTGCTCATAAACTAGTTCTGACCTTAGTGTCTACGATCAACATTCCGTAAGATGATTATGTACTCGACTGCAGCTTTGCTAAAGCTCACTCAACAAACTGCTGCTCCGTCCATATCATGAGCACAAATATCCAGAATTCCCGTGAAAACAGTCAAATCAAAAGTCCACAACGCTATGCTAAGGTACCGCATCTTTGGGCCCTTGGTGTGGGTGCTGTTATTAGTGGAGACTTTTTTGGATGGCAGACAGCACTTGTAGCTGGTTTTGATGTTCTGCTCATTCTGCTTGCTATCGTAACGCTGCAGTATATATTGCTGTCATTTTCAATTGCCGAGCTATCGGCAATGGTGCCGCATGGTGGTGGTCCATACATCTTTGCTTTGCACGGCATTGGCAAGACAGCGGCGTTTTTCGCTGGTATTGCCGAGTGTTTGAAGGTCATCATTACAACGGGAGTGGCTGCGACTGGTATTGGATCGTATATCACTGAAATTCTTGGCTTAAGCTCGGACTTAAACCCAGTTTGGTGGCTTGCTTGCTACATAATCTTTGTCACACTCAATATTAGTGGTGTCGAGATGACTTTTCGCGTACAGGCAGCCGCTACTGTCATGTCGGTAATGATCCTGCTTATATTTTACGTCGGTGCTGCTACTATGATTTCGTACGATAATTGGGTCGTGAATCGTGACTGGAAATTCAAGGGCTTTGAAGGTTTTCTTCAAGGTGCTTCGTTTACATTATGGTTCTATATGGGCATTGAAGAATTACCACTTGCTATTGACGAGACTATTGAGCCTACGAAAAACATGCCACGAGGCCTAATGGCATCACTATTCACTCTGATTGTCATTTCATTTTGCACAGTCATCTTTAATTCCATGATCAGCCCTGGTGCAGATCAAATGTACATAAATTCTCACCACTTTTAGCTGGTTATCAAACCGTGTTTGGTGATAACACAACCACTTCGAGTTTTACGTGGATTCTACTTGTAGGTCTCATCTCGAGTTTCCATTCGTTTGTATACTGCATGGGCAAATTGTTGTACGCTATCGCCTGCGATGGATACCTCCCTAACATTTTAACAAAGTTACATTCGACGCGTGGTACAACCTACATGTCATTGATGGTCGGAAGTCTAATAGCTTTTATTCTAGCTTTTGTACTACACTTTACCATTGGTGATACGCGTCTCGGATCTGTGTTGATTAATTTGGCTCTCATTGGTGCGATTGTATCTTACATCTTTCAAATTACCGCTTTCATTATGCTGCGTCTTCGTGAACCAGAGCGTCCGCGGCCATACAAGAGCCCATTTGGTGTTTCGGGTGCCGTTCTATGTCTTATCCTATGCATCTTATCAATGGTGTCAATAATCTACAGCGGGACATCAAGTTACGACTTTTTCGCCTCTGTGCTCATTGCTATCGGTTACTTTGTTATCGGGGCTATCTATTTCTCTTACCATGTGAAGCCACGTATACAGGCTGGAAACGGTTCCATGTCCGCTAAGGAGTTTCGGGAGATTTTCATGAGCTCGATTGTGTCCAACAAGGCATAACTGATGCATCTGAATTTATTTAGAGTAATGCATTGAGAGACTACTACATCGTTCAATGAACTTCTTCGTCTGTAACTTAAGCAAATAGCACTACCACAAAGTATCTGAGCTACATTTACATGAATATCTTTTTCTTTCCGTCAGACCGCTGATGAGGCACTACTCAGTAGGCTATCATGTAGTTTCGGTGTTAGCGATACTTCGATGCGAGATCGCACATGCGTAAAATAATACACAGCACCGATAGCAAAGTATATACTTGCAACAAGAATGGATGCTAAGAACTCGTAGTTAGAAGTTCCACTATAAATAATCGAAACCATGCCGGCAAAACACAGAAGTATTGAGACAATAGCACCAGGGACACCAAAAGGACTACGATAGGGGCGCTGTCGACTAGGTTCTTTGATGCGTAGATTGATAAATGAGATCAATTGAATGGTGTACGAAGTCAGAGCACCAATCAAAGCAAGATTGATCATGACAGAACCAAGTCGCGTATCTCCAATAATAAAGTGCAACACAAGCACAACAGTGAAGCCGATAGTGCTACCAGCAATGAGCGAAACATACGTTGTACCACGAGTATGGTGTAGTCTTGTCAAAATCTTTGGCAAATATCCATCCCGAGCTATAGCGTACAACAATTGACCCATGCAGAATACAAATGAGTGGAAACTTGCAATGAGACCCAGAATGAGCATCCACGAGAAAGCTGAAGTCGTGCTATTACCTCCAAAGACACTTTCATATCCGGTCAAAAGTGGAGAAGTACTGGTGTAAAGTGCTTTGGCGCCAGGGGATATCATTGAATTAAAGGTCACAGTACAAAAAGCCAGCAAAACAAGCGTAGAGATGGAAGTCACAAGTCCGATCGGCATGTTGCGTTCGGGATTGACTGTCACTTCAATTGCTAGTGGTAATTCTTCAATACCCAAGTAAAACCAAAGAGCGAACGAATATCCTTTCACTGCCCCATCCCAACCATTTGGAAATTTCCAATCGACATTCGAGACCCACTCGGTACACGATACTTTAGTCGCTGCACCAAAATAAAAGACAAGCAAAATAAGGACTGAGATCACCGTCGTGAACGCTTGCACGCGAAATGTCACTTCAACTCCCACAATATTAAGTGACACAAAGACGACGTAAAAGACGAACCACCAGATTGGACTGCAATCTGAGCTGAGATTTAAAAGTTGATTCGTGTACGAGCTTATGCCTGTAATGACGACCGCACAAGTGATGACGACTTTAAGGCTTTCTGCCAAACCGGCGAAAAACGCAGTGCATGGACCAAAAGCATGCAGTGCAAAGATATAAGGACCACCACCTGATGGGACCGTTGTGGATAATTCGGCAATAGAGAAGGCCAACAACACATAAAGCACTGTTACAACGACTAGGATGATAAGAAGTCCATCGAAACCAGCTACAAGGCCAGATTGCCAACCAAAGAAATTACCACTAACGACAGCACCAACACCTAGCGCCCAAAGATGTGGCGCTTTAGCGTAGCGTTGGTTTTCCATTGAATTGATCAAGTTTTTGTAGTGGGAAGGAAGACAAACGAAAAGTGGCATAGATGTTACATTAATTCATGGGTGACGAAGTGTAAAGGAATCTCCAACGGTTGCGTAGCAGCTCATTCGTAGCAGTTATAGCTATGAACAAAGTCGTGAGCATTGATTCGTTAGAATTACTTTTAAAAGGATTCGATTTGACTTATGACACCACTCAAATACCGCTGGGCACATGGTGTTAACTCTTACGCCTTATTAGCAGACGTCCAACGTCAAATTAAAGAGGCCCAGCAACATCAATTTGCTGTCCCAAACTTTGTTAATGCTATCGAAGCTGACATTATTTGGAGTGAAGATCAAGAGATTCCTGTCATGGGGCACCCCCCTGCTATAACTGGTGATTTAACTTTTTCACACTTTTTATCAGTCATGTTGGATCTTGCTTTAACACTTAAGAGCTTGAATTTCAATTTTAAGACGCCGTTAATCGTGAAGTGCGACTTTAAAAGTAGTCGTGCATTCGAGATGTCATTGGAAATGCTGATTAAATTTATGACCCTTTATCCTTATTCAAAGGGTATCTTCATAAATGCCGATATCTTACCAGGTCCAGCAAATTCGGACTATGTCGCTTTTGATGCGTCAACGTTCTTAAATCAGGTTTATCATTTAAGTGAGTATGAAGGAGGCAAACATCGTGATAAACTCGTGCTCTCTGTGGGGTGGACGACAGCTAACAACAATGAAGAAGAAATTCATCGCGAGTATTCTTTGGAAATGGTGCATGAGATGCTGCGTGCATTGCAGCCATTGGGAGACAACATTGTAGTAACATTTCCTATTCGAGCAACTAGTGTGCGCAAGTCGTGGCCTGCATTGCGTCTCCTGCTTGAGTCTAAAAATTACGGATTAACGCTGTGGTGGACAAAGACTCAGATTTCGGATGAAGAGCTCGAGTGGATTTTTTCCACGCTTGAAAACGAACAAGACAAAAGCTGCATTGATGCCCAGCCAACTTACGCTGGACGAACGTTTTACGACATCAAAGGCTTTGATAACTTTTTAGCCAAACGCAGTAGCTCCAATGCACAGCTGTAAAATTGATGATAGACATACATCAAGGAAACGAACTGTCATCAATTTAGACTTCTAGACAAGTATTCCATACTTTAATCTGCACTAATATTGATATGGTTGTTGAAAAGCTGCAAGAAAATCACATGAGACTCACCTTTGATGTGGTACCTTTGAACAAACGTTTTGCAACTCCTCAATTATTGTAGTATGCACTACTTTCACCGATATATTATTGTCCTCAAGTCTGCATGCTAGGTAGATGAACTCGCACAGTCCTACGACTAGCCGCTTTTGTCAAATACACACATGTGTTTGCCGATTGTGGAATTTCTGGCTCGAACGTTTCATGTAATGAGACTTGATCCCCGTCACTTAGATGGAGCACAACATGCAGCAGCCTTCACTTGTTTATCGTGTGAGATTCTATTCAACCTCTTTGCATAAAGTCTTCATTTCTAAGTCTTGCCGATTATTAAAACTTGGGGTGGTAGAATATGGGTGAGTCTGATCGACCGCCAATCATTATGAACAGTGCTTATCCGATGTGCTCAAACCCACTCCACCCCTCCAGTACTTAGAACTTAATACTTGCTCAAATTAAGAGTGTTCAAATCTGCCGTGGTGTAATCAGCTGTTCCACCTCAAAATCATACACGACCAACGCATGAAGCTCCCAAACGGATACTTATTACGACATCTTGCAAGATGGTTTCGACAGCTGCTTTTTTGGCACGGTAACATCATATTTACAAGCATAAAACATTTGTTATGAGCTTGAAAGCTCTGGCACACACATCTCTAAGTGCTGTATTTCCTTTTAAATTGATTCACCAATTACCGCTGTACACGGTGTTCAGCAGAACAATATCAAAGATTTTGTACTAACTATTCTCAGAGTCGCACAGTGTGTAGTTGTTGAAGATGAACGTAAAGTATCCTGTCACTTGATGCTAATTCAAAGCAATGATGATAAATCGGCAAGTTTGACCTTTAAACTAAAGTTTACGCTTCTGTTAAGGCACTTAGAGTGTGCTCTCTGTCTTTGTTCCCATCACTTATGACCAACTGCCAATAAATAAGATAAGCCATTCATTTATTGGGCTTTAAATATTTCTACTAATATTGTCATACCTGATTTGGTCAAACAGGTCTGGATACCTATTCAATTATTCGATCTGAGAATTCAAGTCCTCTCCAACCTGATTACTAGCTGCCTGTTTCTTTTCCTAATACAGTTATCATCTGTTTAAGCTTAGCAATGTCGGTCTACATTGCAATCTCTAACTATTCCATTCAGCATTTCTGCCTTCCCTAACATTCTGCTGAGTACAGTAAATAAGCGTAACGATACACTGGCCCGAGATTAGAAGATATTGCAATAGTAAGATCAAGAGACATTCAGGTTATTTTTATTTAAAGGTGAAGATTCTTACGTTTCGTGAGACCTTAATGCATGTACCAATCGCCCTGATGATCGTCGCGACTTAGTAATTAAACTGCGAGCTATCATTTGGTTATGCACGAGACTTCAGTGCTCATGTTGAACTGTAATAATCTATTTCGACACTTTGTTCGATTTCCTCGAAAAAACTACAAGTAAAAATTTAAAGTTGAACTCACAATACAATTGGACGAAATCGCTACCCCTTCAAATTTGTTTCTTTCCAAAAGTTCTGATCGCAGTTTCCCAGCATTTCGAGCTTGGCACAATTTGTCACCTAACGTATTTGCAGTCTTTTTGTAGTGCTCAAAACACTCAGTCGAAGCCCATTCAATGCACGTTCCAAAGCAATCAACGTCACCTTCGACTTTGCTTGGTGGTCGAGACTCGGTCTCTTCTCCTAACGCGCTGATGCGACGACATGCCGATAGTCAGCGTCGCCGCGATACCAACGGTACCAGTCTCAATGGTACATCTCGCCGGAGCGGGCGTTACAAAAAAAGGCGGGTCACCACATACTCTGATGTCGACTCAGATTCTCGAGAAAATCGGAAAATGCTCAAGTTGGCACTAGCTAAATCTGTGATGGAGACGAAGATGGTGCAGATGATGCCATTGCCTCAAGCAGCCGTATTTTATCCAACTATGGAACAATTTACTGACCCTATAAAGTATATTGCAAGGTGCGTGTGTGTGTGTGTGTTTTTGTAAATTTGTGTGGTGGTACACCAAATTTGATATTTTTTAAAAATATATATTAGTATTGAGCGCGACGCGTCTCGAACTGGTATTTGCAAGATAATTCCTCCGCTTGGATGGAATCCTCCATTTGCTATAAATTTTGAGGATGATCGTTTGCATTTTGGCACGAGAAAGCAAAAAATTCATAAATTGCAGGTTGATAGGGTGAAGTATCTTTGAAAGAAGACGAAAAAACTAAAATAATATTATGGCGAATTGTAGGAAGGACATGCTTATGGAGATGGAAGAACGCACACATTTCGATCTTTTCGTGCAAATGCAACGGCGTTTAAAGATCATTGGTTCAAATCAAGAGGATTAGACCCAAACAAAATCACGTCGATTGAAATTGAGCAGGAATACTGGCGTGTTATTCAAACTGGACAACCAAAAATTGAGGTAAAGGCAAATGTTTTGATTTTGCCACCGCTGCCGAACATTTAAGTGAGGATTCTCTCATTTGCAGGTGGAGTATGCCAATGATCTTGACATCGCACAGGTCGGCAGTGGGTTCCTACGCTCAACGAAGCGATTTGCATCCCAATCTTCAAAAGGTACGGTGGGTGAGCTCCAAATATTTCTATGTAAGTCTGCTGAGGTGGCACCTGATTATATACAGGAAAGGAAACAATTGATTTTAAGAATCAGGAATATTACAGAAACACAGGGTGGAATTTAAATAATCTCCCAGACGCCTATGGTTCACTACTTCGACACTTGGGTGCCGCAATCAATGGAATAAATGTGCCTTGGCTGTATTGCGGCATGTTATTTGCGTCATTTTGCTGGCATGTTGAAGACAACTTTATGTCCAGTATTAACTATCAACATTTAGGCGCGAGTAAGCGGTGGTATGGAATTCCTTCCTCGGATGCCGACAAGTTTGAAGCTGTGATGAGGGCGCAATTACCTGAGCGTTTTCGAGCGAATCCAGATCTACTCCTTCATTTGACTACTATGGTGCCACCGACTGTTTTGAAAGATCGAGGTGTAAAGGTGTATACTATTGTTCAGCAACCCGGAGAGATCATTGTGACATTTCCAAAGGCGTATCACAGTGGTTTTAGCGAAGGGTTTAATTGCAATGAGGCTGTAAACTTTGCCCTACCGAATTGGATTGATTATGGACGAGAGTGCGTTGAGATGTACCGCAAGTATGGACGTTTATCTATCTTTTCACATGACCGGTTCGTATTTCATTTTGGATCGACACAAAATCTAGCAGAGTACACTGTTGCAGACTGTGAAATTTTATTAAAGGAATTGCGGCGATTATTTCACGAAGAACGAGATTATAAAAAATCGTTTTTAACGGATGGATTAGTAAATGTTGACGAGTTTAGTGGTGATGTCATGCTGGATGAGCAGTCGATGAAAGTAGATGATGTTCGACAATGTTTCCGTTGCAAGCACAATGTATTTTTTTCGGGCGTCATTTGCTCATGCAATCCAAATCGTTTAGCGTGTTTGCGGCATACAAAAGATATGTGCAGTTGTTCAATGAGAAAGCGGACATTGCTGCAGTGGGTGAGTACTGCTGAATTGAGATATGCGATTCGACGTGTACAAATGAAGATGCGTGCTTTAAAAAATCAAAGTTGTCAGCAAGATGTGAGTCTGACTCAAGCCGATCACACTTCCAAACCCCATACAAATGGCATAGTGACGGCAAGTAGCGAAGGCAATTACATTTTAAAAAAACGAAGCGGGAGTCGCGTTAGAGCGTAAGAATAACTTGCTGATGACATTTGTGATGATGAAAGTAGAAGTTTGATAGTTTCTTACCATATACAGATAATTTTGATTTATTCTAAAATATCGGTATGATCGCTATAACGACTAGATGTAATTCAATGAAGAAAAAGTGTACATATAAATTACGTTACGGCTCTTATCTCGTAAATTACGGAGGTTGCATAACATTTTATCCAGTCATCATGCACAATAAGCTGACCGTTCCCTTACCACATACAAAATCAAACTGCACGACGTTCGCAATGGGCGAAGTGATTCGTGTGCTGCTGCTCAATCCGCTCACAAGTGTCACATCGCTCGTATGTTTACAGCGTCCACTTGAATGGGAAGGTGTATTGAGCGACTTTTATCAGGTTATTACAAACTCAGATGATGATCCTGCACCGAGTATTTTAGCTAAATGCAAAGTGCTTCTTCATCCGACCAAGTCTAAGAGCGAGAAAGGCGTCGTGGTTCGTTGGTCTACATACGCCATTACGTTATAACTACACTGCGTGTTAATGATTTGTACACTCTAGATTCGAAAGAATGCGCTGGATCGGTCAATTCGAGATGGGGATCTACTTTCTCTCGAGGGGTTTCAACTTGATGAAGCCACTGGTCCCCCGCCTGAGCTCTTGGACATTATGGACACGCTGGATTTTGACGTTTCTATGGACTTTGGTGCTGGTTTGACCCCTTCCGAAAATTTTAATTCAATAGCAAGTGTTGCTGCCAAAACGGTGTCAGAGCCTACGATCACGCACATGGCCAATAATGTAGGGCAGATACCTCCTCCTGTCGGAATATCGTTCGGAAATTCACGCAAGCCAAAACGTGGTCGTAGTTTGTCGTCCAAATTCTGGCTAGTCAATAAGCTTGCGGCCAGTGGTCAGATTAGTAAGGAGCAGAAAGACTCGCTGAAGATGCTGCTCATTGCATCAGATGACTCGGCGCTACACCAGGCGTTTGAACGCTACGAGGAGACAGGAGATCTTGACACACTGCTGAATCTTCATATAAATGCAAAAAAATCATTTGCAGGCTTGCCGCCGCTTTCGACAGAAGGTTTTGACTTTCAGCTCACGCAAAACATTGAGAACGAATTGGATCTATTATCCATGCGAAGCTTTAGCCTGGGCGGAAGTACAGGAAATTTAGTTTCTTTAATAGACCAGTCGCTCGCTCCTGATGTGGCACCGCCAAGTAATGGAAGCAACAGCGCAAATAATGAACCGATTCCGTTTATAAGCACAAATACTGAACTGGAAGATCCGGTAGATGCGCTGATAGAATCCACACTAAACTCGCTGCCTATGCCTATTGGTCACGACGATGACCAAAGTTTGCCGTCAGCATTGCCTGGTGACTTGCATGGCATGGAGGAGTGGCTCAAGGATTAAACCAAATGTGTCAGTCGATATAGTTGAGACTCGGAAGTAGAATTTGCCGATCATGCACAGTGATGAAGAGGGAAGCAAGCAAAATCAATTCTGGACATTTGCTACCGAACAAGATAAAAGTGCAATGAAGTGAATTTATCAAAGCGATTAGACGAGTGGCTTTCTGCGTGCTACAAGGTAAATCACTTTGTGCACCACAGCTTGCCTCAAATATAACTGAAAATCAAGAGCTGATTGAACTACCACCCTGGTACCTCTTTTTCCTCCCAAACATCCGTCACATAAGGTTGTTTCGATGCATCCAGAGGTGTGTCCTGAAGAAAGTTCTGACGCTTTTCTTCGGTCATCATACTCGCCCGATAACACAAATACATATTTCTCCAAGTATGTTTGCATTCATCAACCTGACCATATCTGTAAAAGTGTTCTAATTGATTACCCGGCGCTAAGTAATAGAACAAGGAGTAAGAACTTTCCTCCAACTGCGATAAAGTAAATAACGTACTGACGCAGTAGAATGACCGATCCAGAAACCAGCGACAAGGTAAAGTTTTATCAGCTTGACCACTTCCTTGTTTAAGTCTTTCTTCGTGTAGATATCGCACCGTGCGCTCAGCATTCGATCCCTGCGAGTCCATATTTTGGAGTATAAACGTAATATTTCAACTTTTGTTTGGTAAAAATTCGATTATTTTGATAAAATTGCTTTTTCACGAGCGCGGCGCAACATTCCATCCTTTTAGTTTAAGCTCATGAATTTGCTCTTGAAGGATCTTTGTGAGCATAATAGTACCTTCTAAAACACTGCGTAGTTCTTCCTGTACTTGAGATCGTTCATCAGATCTTCCCTTAGCAGGTTGTGGGTGCACTGACTCGCGAGAGGCACTAAATGGGCGAGCGATTGATTGGGTAGTCCGCGAGCTGAGACGACGATTTTTTAGCGAACTTTTGGTCCCAGGTTTAGAAGTGTGTGATTCATCGTTCCCATTGTTACTATTCAATACATGCTGCTGCATTGTGTGACCCAGCGGAACGGATGCTAGCTGCTCGAACTCGCGGAGTGAAGCAATGGTTAAGAAAATTACAAGAATTGTTAGGAATATGTAGACGAAAAGATCAATCGAAGTGATATCAAACAAAGCGGTAGAGGATATAGAAAGTTTCGACGGAGATCATGCGATTTCCTCCTAAGGGATCAACAACTTTGACCATATGGGAACCACTTCGATCCTGGATTCGATAAACAATCGTTAGAAAGTAAGTTGGGTTTTCAGTCTTTGAATCACAATCAAGATTACAGGAGCAGGACTGAATGACTTGGAGCTACCAAGAGTGGCCGTCAACTTATTTGCCTGTTCAATCTTAGCCAAAATTTTCTTTTTGAAGTCGCTTTCCTCGCGCGAAAGTTGTCGCTAGAGCAAATCATCAACATTTCAAGTCATGGCACAAAAAATTAGCGAAACGCACTGCAAAGTCTCGGTCGCGCGCTTTCTTCTTCTCAGATGCAGCGCGTAAGTATGCGATCGAGATGGACGCAGAAGATCGTTGATGCTTATCGTCGTTGCTTTGAGAAGGATGTATCGTCAATGCTGACATGGGTCTCTTTGCTGGTGCTGATGACGGCCGAAACTTGATCTTTGATCTAAACTTTACATCTAAGATTGAAGAAACATTTAGCCCATTCATAGTGTTATGAATTAGTGTCAAACTTACCTGACGGATTAGATTTGCCATACGCGTCCCGGTATGTCTGCCGAAACTTCACCTTGAGTTTTGTCTGCACTTCGTGAGGTTTCTCTTCTGTAGACTTGTCTTTGTTTCCATCGCCAATCTCCGATATTTCTTTGTCTTCATTTTCGTAATTCTCGACATCTGACACTGACACTTCTTTCGATCGTATGGTATTTATCTTTTTGCTGAGATTAGCACTTCCTGGCTTTGATAGTGGTGGCTTGGACACAATAGTCGACCAAGATGCAGACTCTAACATCGTAATAAGCTTTTCCGACTAGGTAAACTTACCCACCAACGTGACTCTAAGTCAAACGACCAAGATTAATATCACAGCATGAAACAACTCGTAACTTCAGCCTATTTTCGTCTCATTTTTTCAATGTTTCATTCTTTTTGACTAAAGGCTACAGGCACAATAGTTCTACTTCACTCTCTTCCAATCCTGGAGTGCCCCCCCCAATTTTGCTGATAAAAACTATCGCCGTGATAGGCTCAGAATTTGCAGTTGGGTTATAACTTACCATCGCGTAAGTTCAGCACGCTCCTCAGCAAGCTTTTCTGCCTCCACAACCTTATCATTCAGGTAAAAGTCGAGAGGACGTTGAATGGCTTGAATTTCGTCGGGCAGGTAGCAACGCTTGAGGGAGCAATCGGCGGCGCGCGCGATACGCTTTGTGCGGGCCTGGGTTTCTTCGCCATGAATCCAGTGTAGCGCCGTCTGCACAGCGGCTGTGTCTACAAGTGCATCATCGTACTTGAGTCCATACATGCCGAAAGACTTGCTCACGGATTTCTGGTACAGACTAGCGACCTTGGAGATGAGGCTCATGATTGTTTATTTGTTATGACTTTGTTGGGGTGAATTTCACGCATACCAAACATTATAAAAATATTGAATGGTGGTTCCACACTAAATTAGTTTTGGTCTTAATTGGCTTTTACTGCTTGGTAATGACCTAATATTGCTGGACTTGTCAAGCATACTATAGTAGATATGTATGTCCACTATTGCTACGAGGGCTACTTCGGTTTAATGAACATAGTGAAATCAAGTCAAACTGCAGATCTTGACATAGTAATTCATATATCGCGGTAAGCCACCTCTATTGTTGAGATTGCTAAGTTCGGATCAAGGCTATCAACGAAGCACTTTTGGTTGGTAAATGCGAACGAATATTTCGGGCACGTCCTATGGCTAAGTTGGCTTTATCGACTTGAAATGAAATCTTCGACGGATGTAAGAGTGCTATCTCAACAACAATGGAGGCAATCGATGTTCTGATATCATTGCATGAAGAATTTTGTACTTGTTTATTTCGTATCTGTATATCGATTATCTTAAAGTAAGAATTTGATCAGCTTTTGGAAGAAGGGGTTGCTGTGATGCAAGATGTAACAGGCTCGAATGCTTAGTGCAAACGCTGCCCATGCTGCCTGGCGAATTTTTTAAGTATTAAGCCAAGCGTGACAACTTACATCATTCATGACAACAACAAGTTTCGACAAGCTTTTATTCATTTTATCGCTGAGTTTGATGCATTTCCGACATTAGTATTGTTGATTTGGTGGATCATAACCAACTCCTTGAAAATTTAAACAAAGGATTTTCACTTATTTTTCTTTGACTCAGAACCCTGTGCTTCGAAACAAATCGAAAAGAATGCTTATTCAGGAAGGAAATGTAGACCGTCACATCACTGCCTTCGCCAGTAAAGAGGTAAAAAGCTCACACGCATTAGAAAACAGTTTATGCCCTTTTAAAGTCGCTTTATGCAATCTAATGTAGTGTTAATGCCAAGTAAGTAGAAGCTTCAGATACGAGCGACTTCACATATTTAACAGGCTACTGATGGACTTATTGATGAATTGAGTGGCTGCGGTTATAAGTTGATATCACAATTAGGATACTACTGATCTAGAATTTTTCGTGAATATTTAATCTACAATCTGAAATATGTAATTATCAACTCGAGTGCATATGCGGCTAATATCTTGGTACCGTTGAACAACTGTTGGACAGCAATGGTATTCATTGTTTTAAGCTTCAAACAGACAAAGGAGGTGATCACTTGCGTCTTGTTAATAAACATGCTCATCAACGATCCATTCGTTTTCAAGTGGCCAGTAACGTCAAAACTTCACGTCGATTCGCGTATCCTACACTGTGCCATCCAAGAACTTTTAATTTTTACCGAGAACAACCCAATAACCTTACAAAAGCAGCTACTTTGTTGACAAGGTAGCCTTGCGAATGTGCTTTGGAGCTCAAAAACACTTCTTTGCGAAATCAGTGAACAGCTCACGACTAAACCCGACTACTGTTGGATCGACCCGTAATGTTTTTCATCATTTTCATCAAATATTACGCTCAACTTCTCGCAGTCGTCCAACAAATGGCTAAGAATTTTCACGCATGGCTAAGACTTCAGGCTAGAGTTTACAGCAAAACTCCATTATTTTTAATTGGCGAACTGAAATACGATCTGGCTTCCAGCACACGATGATCATTTCCGCAACGACAATGGAGGATGTCCAGCTTTCGAAGGTCAGTACCAGATATAAATGTTGTCACTCTGCTTCTCCGTCCTAAACACTTCGACCTCTTGTTTCAGCGGGTAAGTAAATTGTATGGATCGCAGCTTTGCGACTTTTTATTAGCCTGTTTTGATAAGAACGCGTTTCTCCTACAAAAGAAATAAACGCTATTCAGCATCTTCAAAGTTTTGACGAAAGCTCGTTCCTCCAGTAACGCTAATGAGCACCGATAAAGCTGTATTTCCAGCACTAGTTAACATGTTAGCAACAGCTGATCGGCTGGGTCTTGTCCAGAATTCCGAGAACACAAAACGACACTCGTCTCCAGCACCAAGCAATAGATGCATTGCACGATCATGCTGGTCCAATTCCATGTAGCTAAGAAGACGTTGCAAGCAGTAAAACCCTCGAGATGTCGGTAGCGTAGAAAGACCCGAGCCGCTGCTACTTCTACGCCGTCGACCATGTGTGATTTGACTTATCTGGCTCGAATAGTCCACATCATCAGCGTCTTGTTGATACCCAATGCGATACCAATCACAAACACGCGGCAAGTAGATCATCCGATTAATTTCATTCAATCGTAACTCGCGCTTTAGAAACATCGTGCATGTCGAATTTAATTGTGCATTCAGCTTTCTTCCTTCATACACACGCATGATTCCCAAAGTTTTGGAAATGGGTGGTGAACTATTAATCTGAAGGACCAAACTCGTACGCAAATCTGCACGTTCAATTGCTAGAGTTGTCGAAATTGGTTGAGGAGTTGTTTTGATTTGTGTATACGAGGTACTACGAGGCAGCACAGGTGTCCACGCTACCCCCAAAACTGCTCGACATAATCCATTGATTGCATCTCCACCACCAATAGCGACATCCATAAGTGCATGTTGTGATAAACTTCGTTTAAAACTTGATGCTCCTAAATCTACTGGTACAGGACAGCGCAATATGATGCGTTGGATATCGGCTAGAGTATATCGAACCGATTCACTTGCATGAAGTTTACGCATGAGGTAACACGGCACAGTTTGTGCCAATTTCCATTGTTCATGATTTTGAGGATACCCAAAAACAAGCACTGTATGGATGAAGAGCGTATGGTATAAATTGAGACCCATAGCATAACGATCCTCGCTTGTCATTTCAGTTGCCACCTGTTCCAGATCAAGATAATTGAATTGCTCAACTCGACGTAGAAAATCACGCACAATATTTAGACTTGTACGAAGCCTAGCAACAGTCTCACCCAGAGCAAACACTTTCAGTCCGGCCTCTAAACTTTCCTGCACTATCTTAAATGCACCAAGTGCATCTGTTTTCATAGCAGTCGTGACCACAAATCGAGATGTGCGTTGATTCAGACAAATTGGCTGACTTTGAGAGGCAAGCGACATGGGAGAAAAGAGGAACGACGTCGGATCAGTTGTTAACTTTATACCGTTAGTCATTTGATTTCCACAATCAGTGATAGTTAAAGGATGCAGAGACGTAATCAAGTGATCCCGTTCCGCTAAAGTCTCAACATAGAGCGTAATAACTTCAAAAACAAGATGAATTTCCAGACAAAACCAACGAACAACCGCATCTTGTTCGTGATGCACATCTGAAGGTTGATGACCCTGAAGTAAACTCACGCAATCGATGGCACATACGTCAAGCACATTCGTTACTGGAATGCTCAGTGACGGAGACGCTGAATACGATCGAAAGAAATGTAAATTGTCAGCAGACACAACAAGCCACTCTTGACGTAGCAATGGGATTGTTCCATCGCCGCTATCATATTGACGGTAGATTCCTATCTCATCTACAATTTTCATATTTAATCGCTGAAACTCCGTCAACTGTACACCAATCGCTTGATAACTTGGTACAGAAGGTAATTGAGATGGAGACATAAGGCATCGATAGAGTGTCGCTGCTTCCAATTGGTTCTGATAGCAACGTTGCGGTAGACACCATCGATATCGTTTTTTCGATCCTTTTAAAGCAATTTGATCAAGAATTCGAGCTATTGCTGCCGTTTCGTGTTCAATCAGTTCGTATCGATACGTGCGCGACTCAACACTGAGATTCTGAAGATCAACATGTTCGTCAACTTGATCCGCCTCTGAATCGTCTATATCAGCAACTCCAGTCTCTTGTTCTCGTTCTTTTCTCTCAATCTCGTGTTCGAGCCGCAAAAGAAGCACAGCATTTTTCACTGTGACAGCACTACGCATGACTGTACACTGAGACTTCTTTGTTGTATCAACAACTTTAAAAAGATACCCAACTTTTCGACGCCCAGCTATCCGATCAACAAATTCGACCCAAACATCAAGCGAAAATCGTATTTTGCGTAATGCACGGGCATCCTCAGCAATCTGTCGACAAGCCTCTGCATGTGCTCGTGGTATACCACAGCGTCGGTGTTTACTAATAGTATGTAGTGCAATCGGAGACCCAACTTCAAATTGAGCAAATTGATCTTTTGAAGAGAGTGCGACCCGTAATTGGTTTGATTCGGGCAGTGCTTCTGTCTGTTGACAACCTTGTACTAAGAAACAAAATAAATATTGTTTTGTTTTCGTTGTAGAGTTAGGAATTGATGACGTTTGGTGGTCTTGAATAGACGGTGGAGATACTAAATACGCTGCAATGTGAATGTTGAAGAGAACAATCCAATTAATCGGAAGCCACTCGAGTGCGAGATGGTACAGTCGAAATAGCAATTTCGACCTCCAACCGATAAAATTTCCTTCAAATGTATGACTAGATCCAATACAATCGACACCTAAAGATGAAGTTTTCAACGAAAGTATCGAGAATGTGGAATTACTTGAGTGGATTCCACCTTGTATATACTGGATCGTATCCTTTCCACACAGTCTGTTCACGACAGCTTTTGCTACTTTAATCAACCCTTTGTCGCTTTGCGTATCAATCGAAACCTCCAAAGCAAAGACCACTTGACTATTTGGTGCTACATTTTTCAAAAATTCACCTTGAAGTGAAAGATTCAATTGATTCCACGTCGCTGTGATTGCAACTTGTCCTCGAAATTGTGAAGATTCTACTTGTACTTGAGTTGACTTGCTGTGTGAGATGAGAATCGGTACTTTTAAATGCGAACAGAATTTATCCAAAAGATATAATTGATGTCTCTCAAACGAATTCTTGATACTGCGTTTGTTATACAAGTCATAGAAGTTTATACCAGCGAGTACTAATCCAAATATGAGCCATAACACTTTAATAATCGTGACGTCACCCGATGGAAACACGAAGCTTTTCGACACGATTAGAAGATTGATAACAGCATTGATAGTAAGGCATCGAATGATTGTAATAAAGAACATGAGCAACATCGTCAAGCGCCATAGACTTTCGATTCGGTGCTTGCTCTGCGTCATAGAGCACAAAAATCAAGTTGGATACGGGATAAAGGTTACGTTTGTGATATTAAAAAAATAGTCGAGAATCAGACCCCTCTGGCATAAACAGCTGCTTTCATGACATTAGACGTGCGTGCTGGCACCATTGCCAGAAATAGATAGGAAGTATGCAATTATAATTAGAAAAAGAAGGATGCCATATTGATTAAGAAATTATCTAAAAATTACAATTTGTGGCACTTATGATCAAAAATGACAGTGTCGGATAGCGTACGACAGCGTTGATTGCGTAAGGCTCACAGGTTGCTCAAGTTGATAGTCACAGCTCATGTGAATAGAGCCACGTTATAGCAGAACCGTGACGATCGTGTACAGAATCTGATTTCGTCTCTAGCGTCCGACTTCGAGAGTTATCAGTTACCACAGGGTCTAGAAGCAAACAGATTTTGTAAGATTTTGAAACAAGATAGTAGAGTTCAGGATGCCAAGGGGCACTTGGAGGATGTATAGACACGCACACGTGTCTGAGCTCACTCAAAGCGATGGGACCGTTGTCAAAGAAACGCACGTGGGCTCATTGACTTAACTCTCAAAGATATCGACTCCCTTTAGAGGATCTTGAAATAACGCTATTTAATTTGTATATATACTGAAACAAAGATATTTTTGATGACTCGGTTTCTCTAGAATCCGAGTCATCAAAAATATCTCGCAACAGATAGTTCTGACGGTGGAATGTCAACTTGAATTAAGACAATTATGTACTGATGTGCTAATTTCCTTGCCGACATGAGAGCTGAAATAAATCTCCTGTTGGCAACATCGGGTACAAGTCTCAAACTTGATGAATATGCGTAGTGAGACGTGTCTCCTAACCTCTTCGATTTTTGGAACGACTTGCTTCGATTCAAGAGCTCATTTGGCAACACAGCTCATGAATACATCTGTCATCTACTCGCAAGGATCAGAAATGGCGTGTTTCGATTGACAATATTACTAAAAGCTTGTCGCGGTAAGGCGTGAACGTGGGTTGTCACGATATAGCAAGCGTCGTATCCGTCATAATACCTGATGACTACTAATTTAATACTATTTGGGAAGATAACATCGTGCCCTTTGCTTTCTCATCCGTCAAATCATTGACACCATATTTGATAGGTAGACATTTCTACCTTCGCGTCATTGCAATGGCTTCCGACTACCTTGTGAATCACAGCGCTATGACATGCCAAAATTACCGACACAACTCTCATATTTTGGCCAGCCTTCAAAGATGTTTGCCGATACAAAGATTGCTATTGTCGACCATTTACGTGCTCTCCGTCTTGCCCATGCAGTATATAACGAAGACTACCAGGCCGTTAGGATTTCGTTAGATGTTAAACATGTAGTGTGCCCTCGTGTCTGTTCGTAAATGCGGCAAAGGATCCCACTGCCTCGGCCTACAGAGCTTAAACGACGTGACCAGTAGATCCTTAGTTGTGCAGTTTGCTTACAGCTCAACTTTCCGGAAGCCGTTTTTTGCTGACTGTCGTACTAGAAAGAGGTACTCGCGAGACTGGAATATGCTTCTGCCGTTTACTACGCATCTTGACTAATAGATATTGAACGATCTGCTCTTACCCTGACTTGAGGAAACTCTTTGCATTAATTCTTGCAGCTCATACATTTCTATAAATGTGCCGATCTGCATAGCATGCCAATCCTATAGTTTGCCGCGAATGAGTTATACAGATGCGTGACTTGTTGTCAGAAAAAAAGCACTTTGCTAGCTTCTTCTTCTCTTTATTTCTGGCACGCAAAAGAAGCTAACCACTAGATCACCAATACACGACCAGACACCAACTGAACGAGTTCTATTGCCTCTTCCAATAACTGCCTTAACAACAAACAATATACGTCTCTCATTTGCTTAAGTAAATGTAGATGATCGCACTTCATCCGCTAGACAAAAAAGTTGTGCAATAGCTGCTTGTGTAAGACACCAGGCAAGAGATTGATTTCATGGACAATCACGCTTAAGTGTTGCCGCACGATCCAGCAATGCTCCCACAAAGTCTATCGTTTTCGTGTTATTCAACTTTTCTGCTGATCTAAGCAATTTCCCGACATGTTCACACTTTGTTGCAGCAACCAAGGCAGCTTTAAGCTGTTCATCAGCCTCTTTATGGTTGCCCATATCCTTAAGTATTAAAGCAGCATTTATCTGAAGATCTGTTTCTTCTGGGTAGAGCTCAATGCCCCTTCGTAGTATGTCTAAAGCCTTATCCACATCCCCCATTTTCCTGTACGATATGCCAATCATATTGTAGATAGAAGAGGCTTCAACAAGTAATTCAAGATCGAGTTGTCGATCGCGAACAATGTTATTAGCCATTTCAGTCATCTGGAAAAAGTAAATAGCTTTGTCGAAGTCTCCACATTCATAGGCAATGCTCCCTCGATTGTAATAATGGGTTGGATAGGAAGTGTTGCGATTGATTGCGAGGTCCAAATATGCTGTCGCATGCTTGATAGATCCGCTTCCGTAAAAGTCTTCGAGTGAAGACTCGTCAGTGTGTGTTTGTAACGTTCTTGTCCAGTGTGTGTACAATTCAACACCAATATATCCGAGAGCTTGGTAAGTGTCTGGTGCAAGCATCGCTGCTTTGTAGAGATGACGAATTCCATAAAGGTGAAAATCTTCGTTTGAGGTGTTTCTGGCTGCAAGTGTAACAAAAGCAAGCCCAGCATTTGTCTGGCTCTCAATAAACTTTGGCAACATGCCGATTGCGACTCGCAGGTAGCCGAGAGCCTTTTCTGGATCTAAGTTGAGGATATTTTTAGCTTCATTCGAAAGAACTTTGAGGTTTGTTGGCGCAACGTCAACGGCCACTCTAAAAAGCGTTTGCTCGTCAATCCAATCAGCATTGCGCGAATGACTTCGGTAGCATCCCGCAGCGATCGTCATTGTACCGCAAATGAGCATTACGATTCGAGCTGCACCAAAAAAAATCTTTGGCTTGGCGAGGCTTATACCAAACTGGTTCAAACGGTTACTGCCTTCGACGGAAGTATCCTGTCGAATATACTTGTGTATGATTGTGAGCGTTTGGTCAGCAATGCATCCAACGAGAAGACAGAATCCAACGCTTGGGAAATACATTAATCGTTCCGCAACCACGGTACCAACTGGAAAGATTATGTTTGATGCTGGAAAAAATGGAATCACTCCAAAAGCTATACTCATCATAAACAAGGACGACGCGGGGGTTTTATTCGATCCCGACAATTGAAGCAAAGCATGGCGTAAGCTGACTCCTACAATAGTGTACGCAATTAGTGTGAGTAAATTTCGAAAATCTGTTATCAACTCAACAGCCGAGATAGTGTTGTATCCATAATCAAAACAGAGCCACCGTGGCCACACAAGTTTCCACAGATACCATGCGTGCACATGCGCATAGGACATCATTCGAGTCAATCTGCTTTCTTGCACTACGACATTATTAGCAAGAATATTCCATTCCATCTGTTGATGTTCCCCATTGATCAACACGCGTATCAACGCGGCAACCAGCCCGACAATACCCACAACAAGAACTCGCTTTTGTACCACTTGCCATGATCTTTCCATTCGTTGGTAACATTGAAAGTTTAATAAGTCATAGACTATCAATAGTGCAAACGTGGAGAATCCCAGCTCTTTGCACAACCCTGCCGTTATCGTCAGTAATAAAGCAACCATCACCCTCCCCCAAGACGTGTCAAGTTTTCGTGCGCCATCAACATACACTATAAAGGCTGATAATGAAAAGAGTGTGCACAATAAATCAGCTCGTCCAACTATACTTGCTACTGCATCACAGTGAATCGGATGGACTGCAAACAATAACCCAGTTGTCAACACCCCTACAGAGTTCTCCCATCCTTCTTCCATCAATAATGTTAAGCTCTTATTTCTATTCATCAACGAACAACCTCGTGGTTTTTCCTTGATACCCGAGACCATCATTCGATTTTGATGTTGCTGAAAGAGAACGTTTGCTACCTTCCACACGAGTACCGCGCACATGGCATGCACGAGCGTGTTCGTAAAGTGATAAAGCCAAGCACTATGTCCCTTGGCCATAAGATAATTCAGTCGGAAGCTTAATACAGTTAAAGGTCGGTAACTCTTATGGCTTTGGATAGATTGGATGGGCGTACCCCAAAAGTCATGGGAAAAAACTTCCATTAAATTGCTATGTTGCACGTCGTCATTGGTCAAGACTGCAGTACGATCGTCCCATACAAAACCATTGGCGTTGGCATTCCAAGCGGTAAGTAGCGAAATACCGAAGACCAAGAGCGCACAGACCTCATTCAATGACACTTCCAAGATCATATTTGAATGCGCAAAAGATATTGCCTAGTTGAAGTCTACGATACTACAAAAGTATACTATTTGTAGCAAAATTGCTATTATTAGTTTACAAAGTAGTATGTCAAAACCCCTGGTTTTACTATTAGTAGGGGTGTCGTCATTACAATCCTGTAACTAATTAGTGATTTCTACTCTTTCGATTTATGACTCCCGTCTTCCGCCACTGCCTCTCGTTACACATTCAGTAATTCCGTCTTCTACAGCACGTTATATCAATATGATTTCTCCCTTGAAGGACATTTTCGTCGCCACTGTGCTTGGTACAGCTGCGGGTCTAGCATGGAACAGCTTTAAAGACAAAGAGCTGGACCGCACTTCTCAATTTTATAAGTGGTACGACGCCCAAGATCCACAGAAGAAGAGCCTGCATGCCAACGATTAAGTCGCTTGGTCAACACACAACTTTACGCTTTCTGTTCGAAAGAGGCTAGAGAACCAGCACATGTGTATCGCTCGAGCCGTCATCAGTCCGATATATCTAGAAAACTAACCGAATAGAAACGAAAAATGTCCAAAACTCACTTTAAACGTGTCTTTTCGTTCTCATTTCGCTCTCCTTAACGATGCGACTCTATGTGCATTACGAGTCATCTGATGAATCACAAACGTGGACTAAACGCCTTAATGTAGATAAGACAAAGCATTATACGGTAAGGTCGGTATTATGTAGCTTTGTTCGTGCGTATAACTTAAAATTTTGCTCTAAAACTCCGCTTGAGCTCGAAAATGTGGACGTATACGTGGAATTTGATCACAATGCGACGTGTCGTCGTCGTTTAGACACATTTGACATCTTGATGAATTTCATTGATGACCTTGAAACCCACCAAGCGAATAGATTGTTGCTTCCTAGCGACGAAACGTGGAGCTTTGAGCTTGTTGTGGTTCCTAAAAATTATCAGAAAATTGTGATTGATGCTGAGTCTCCGGTATCTCTTGAAAGTCAGAAGACTTGCTCAATCCAGCAATCAAAAAGTGCTTCAAGTGACTTAAAGCTTAGTGATGACTTAAAGCGGGCAGCTAGGTATATGATACAGCAGAAGTATCGAGCTGCGAGAGAAATTTATACTGAGGTCTTAATGAAAGAAGCTCAAAATCCGGAGGCGTTAGTGGCACTTGGAGAGATTTTAATGTTGAATGGTCGACATGAAAAAGCGATACGTCAGTATTTTATAAAGTGTTGGAAGGAGCATGGACTTGAATATATGGATAAGGGACGTGCTCGAGTGGTGTTTACAAGTGCATTAAGACTTGTAGAATGCTACATTGCTATGAAGAAGTTTGACGAAGCAGTGATGATAAGCAATGAGATGGAAACGTTTTTACGAGATAATGGACTCAAGAAATTAGAATTTGGCAAGCAGTTGAAGGTGCTGAAAGCACAAGCTTTGTACCATTCAAAGATCTTTGAGAACCAGGAACAGGCGATTTTCTTACTAGAGCACTTGTTGCCAGATCTGACGGCATCTACCTTGAATCTGGATGCTCTGTTAGTGTATGCACAAATTGCACACGATCGTGGGAAAAAAAGTGAAGCACTGAGTATGGTATTACGAGTATTGGTGAAGAAACCGAATGATCGCGCTGTGAAGATGACGCTTGTGTCATTTCTCGTACAAACAGATTCAATAGACTGTTTGAAGGAAGCTGTTCCACTCGGTAGTCCGTCAGCTGGAGCGGCATATGCGTTTATTGCGACAGTACTTAAAGACTATAGTGCTGTAGATCAAGCTATTACGTGCTTCCAACTAGCACAAACGAACAGTCCCGAAAATGCTTCGTACGCTTTAAACCATGCGCATGTACTTGAAATTTCTTGTCGATATGCCGAAGCGTATGATGTATTGATTTTGTTTTTCCGAAAAAATCGTACGGTAAGCGTCGGTAATGGTGAGATCGGAGTTGAGGAATTATTTGCTGGCTCGTTCGTTGATATTCTCGACCGTGCCAATGCATGGGATGGTACACACAACGCTGTCGACACATCAAACTCACTCGATAGAGACAAAGCGCTTCATTGGTCCGTGGATTGTGTTTCTGAAGATGCAGAAAACGCAAAGGTGACAACAGTTTCTCTTGATTCGAAATTTAAAGCTGAAAACTTCAAAATTGCCTTCTCAAAGAAACCTTCGTCGATGTTGCTAGCCGCGGACTTAGACCTCTTAGCTTGTTTTTTCACGGTTGTCAAGATTTTGTTTCTTACTGGTCGATTAGCTATTCTGCCATCACTAGTTCGTGTGCTTGAACCAATGCGTCTTGGATTTGAACTCCATCGGACAACCATTCGCAATGAACAGGCCTATTACGCATGCATTGCTCAACTTCTTACCATCAATAAATTATTGAATATTTCACGTCCCCAACTATCTTTACAAACCTCGCTAGATTCTATCTATGTATGCGGCGACTCGCACACATTAGCTACTGCATGGCGTGAACTTTGTCTGCGGGGTGAATCAATTCTACTGCGGCCAGCTCTGGTGACTGGTCTGAAACATTGGCATCTTCGAAACGAATCCACATTTTACCCAAAATTTAATTTCTGGCGTGTGATCACGAACATCCCATGCAAGTCGCGAGTTATCTTTTTATTTGGAGAGATCGACTGTCGAGACGGAATTTTAAATGCTGTTAATAAGTGTAAATATGAAGTGAGTACAGGTGTCATTGTGGCTTTGAGGGATTTGAGCAACTAACATATTTTTTCAACAGACAATTCAAGAAGGCATGGCACACACTATCGATATCTTTATGAATGTGCTATCAGATGTAGTAAAGCAATATCAGTTCGATGCGTATATTCACCCTATCGTACCAGTGCTCGATGAAACTCGCTCACTTGTTCTTCAGTATAACAAAATCTTTCAGAAACGTGTTGCTCAAAGCTCCATCTGCAAGTAAGATATGTTCAAATCATACAAATTACCTAACAACCTTAACTGATTTCTGAAGGTGGCTAGACTTTTTGGATGAATTGATTACTTTGGACGATCCACCAAAGGTATGCGCGAGTACATACATCCAAAGTCTTATACAATTTATGTAAATGATCTGTTTTGATAAAACTCTTATGGATAGCTGAGACCAGAATATGAACTTGACGGCACACATCTCCACCCATTATATCTATCGAAGCTTGAAACAGCGCTATCAAAAGCATCATCACGTTGATGCTTTCGTTTTCAGCAATTTGATCGACAACAGCGTAGCCTAATAGCAGTTCGACTCATATCAAGAACTGAACAATAAGCGGGTAATCCAGTTTTGTACGTTAAACGTTACAAAAAATGTCTTCCCGAACAATCCACGATGATAAAATTTCAACTGATGCAACATCTTTTGATCCCATCGCTATTTCAAAAGCATTGAATAAATCAAATAAAAGTTGATCACAGAAATGACGTCCTAGGCAAATCTTTCATGGCATGTATTGTAATTACTGGATCCTGTAGCAGCTATTGACTATTTAGATTGTAAGAAGTGCACATATATATATATGAAATAATAGACGACGAAGTAATTAAACACTCTAAACGGGCTTTGACAACAAAATGTTTAACATATCGGTCTGTGCTTAAACATGAAGAACTACCTCTGAACTGAAGCTTCTACGAGAAATCTGTCTGTTTCGACACAATGGGATTGTAAGTGCCCATGATGATTTCTTCGTAATCAGAACGCTCCGTCTCACTTCGGTGTAAGTCATGAAAAGAGTTAAAGTCTCTTTTATAGGTATATATTTGTGAAAGAGCCGGAAACCTGTTGAATCAGATACGATTCTATTGTAATCCTACCGGTATTGGGGCGTTCTGACATCCACGCGTATTCACCATGAAGCTCGTCGTATCCCCACTCTTGTGCTTCTCTATACTTCTACTAAAGAATTGTGCCAATGCTTTGAATGTTAAGATCTATGGTGTCAACTACAATGCAATCAAGGGAGTCGATTGGGCAACTGACAGTAGTAAATGCAAGTCTGAAGCGGAGATTCAGTTGGATATGAATACGATCAAACAAGTCACGGATACAGTTCGTATTGTATCTTTATATGAGTGTGACCAAGCAAAACTTGTCTTAATAGCTGCCAAGAATGCTGGTCTTCAAGTACATCTTGGAGTCAAAACGATTCAAACAATCGGAGTCCAGCAACAGGAGTGGAATAAACTCACTCAACTCATCGATGCGAATCTTATTGACAATAATGTCGTCAGCCTTTCAGTTGGAAATATGGCAATATTTACTGAAGAGAGTGAGGTCGAAGTTGCGATTCGGAATTTCTATCGAGTTCGAGATTATATACGTGGAAGGGGCTTAACTACATCGCTTACAGTTACTGACTCCATGGAAGCGTACATTGCGAATCCAGCTCTTATGAATGTAGTTGATTTTATCTCAGTGAGTTTTTCAGCTTTTTGGTTTGGCTTTGATGTAAATGAAGGGGCTGCAGTTACTCTTGATCGCTTTCGAGACTTGCGTACAGCAAATACCAAGTACCGCAAAAAGATTGTACTCTCTGAAACGGATTGGAGTTCCAATGGTTCCGATCTTGATGCTGGTATTGCTTCACCTAAAAATCAAGCAAGATTCTTCTCTGACTTGTATCAAGTGGCTTTTGCGTATAACTTTGAATTTTGTTGGTATACTGCATTTGACGAATCGTGGCGAGAGAACGAAGTGGAGAGATCATTTGGTCTTTTTGATGGAAATCGTACACTTAAAAGTAATATAGTGCAGCTCTCCATTACCACGCGTCAACCAAATTACATTCAAAATGAAGGGACTCACTTGTTCTTGTCTGAATACGAAAGGAATGTCTACATGTGGGAAAAGATGTACGATCAATTCATGAATGAAGGTCAAGTGTGGTATCTCGATACGTTAACAAAGCAAGTGCGTTCCAAGAGTTCGGATCGATGTCTTGATGTTTTCGACAATCATGATCTTCATGTTCGTAGCTGCTCGGAAAGTGCAATGAGCCAGAAATGGACATATCATAATGACACGAAACAACTCGAGTCTCAAACTTTTTGTCTCGATATCGACGTTGCTACTTCCAATGAACTTTATCTCTCCAATTGCTCGTCAAATTCCATAAATCAACGCTGGAACTTTACGAACGTCGGGTATTTCTAATTTCCTGCATAATATACTTTTTCAAATTGTATTGTCATTATTTAATGCTTTCTGCAATATTTTTAAAAATTGAACCAATCACAACTCGTTCTTTCCGATCCAAAACATGAGTAAACGTACGGTGGTCGAGTGGTCACCGCATGACGCCTCGCTCTTTGCTGTAGGCGCTGATACATTGCGTCTGTTTGAAGTGACAACATCTTCTTCTCTCTCTTCTTCTCGTCAGGATGCAATTTCTACAAATGTAGCACTTACAACACAACGAAAACGTGCATTTCGTGTCGTTCGGATCAATGCAAAAGTCGCTCAACTCAAGTGTTTACAATGGTATCCATTTAATTCCAAACCTCTACTTATTGCCACGGGTACAGGATCGGGTAAAATTTTATTATGTGACTTTGAAGACGCACGAGCTCGTGTTTTACGTGAATTTGTACCCAAATATTCTCGTCCATGTCATGCTATTGCTTGGAATCCATCAATTCCGAATCAATTGGCAACAGGATTTGAAAAAGTTCGAAGTGATTTTTGTACTTTAGTTTGGGATTTTACGACAACTAGTACAAATAATGGAGGAAGTCAAGGAATTGCTCGAAGTAGTAGTAGTAGTACACTTGAAAGTCTTGTCGATCAAGATAAAGGGAATAGTACAGGACGAAAAGGTGGGAATACATTGACTACAACAAGTATTGGAGTTGGAGCAAGTGGATACTCTGTTTTTGAATCCAAACCAATGTATGAATTGGCAAATTCCGAAGCTACAATGGCATTATCATGGGTTCCATTACAACCAACGTGTTTAGCTACTGGAACAGGATTCAAGTGGCTACGAGTCTATGATTTACGAGGAAAGAATACGTCACCTATGAGTGTTGTTGCTCATAATAAAGCAGTACTTGGAGTCGTCTTTGATTACCATCGACCACATTTACTAGCAACATATAGTGATGGACCACAAGAACCTGTTAAAGTGTGGGATATTCGACAATTACATGCTGCATCTGGACCACTCTTGACATTATATCAAACAAGTAAAAATCTTGCTCAAGTTTCGTGGTGTCCATCAAAATCAGGAATTCTCGTAACAGCTTCAATGGATGAAAAATGGGTGTCATTATGGGATGTTACAAAGCACGAAAGTGGATCATCAATTGTCAAGAAACCCTTTCGAAGACGGTATACATCAGAACCTTTAACATCATTTTCATGGCAACACGTTCAGACAACAAATAAAGCACAGCGTGAAACAACTGAAAGCAAGAGATTACAAACTGATAGGCCGCATTTATTAGCTGCAGCATTTCCAAATCGTTTGTTAACGGCTTCAATTACTGGCGAAATTGGTGATATATCTGTTCACGATGCAATGCCATTATCGTTATCTTCACACGGTGAATTAACGTTTGGATGTGGTAAATTGTTATTTGGTGGTGTAGTACATGGATCAAAAGTCAAGACGTCGGTTGATGATGAAAATCACGTTGCATCTCGTATGGAAAAAGATATTTCAATTGAAATGTATCGACTAGCAAAACAAGGCTATGCATTGAATCTCTCAACAAATCGCAATCTTTTTAATGATTCAACTCGACGAAGTCGAGCATTACGGAATTTATGGCTTTGGGTTGATCAAATTGAATCGCTTTATCGAATTCGAACGTCAGTATTTGAACAATCACAATCTGGAGTTCATCAAAATACAATGAATAGTGGAGTGGCTGGTTCATTGCGTGGTTGGCCACTTGATCCTAATACTTTAGTCGTAGCTGGTGTAAAGAATCTATTGACACTTTCCGGTGAGTCTTCGTCAACACTTAAATCCATTACAGTGAATTCAAGTGCTACAACACAAGAAGAAGCTCGTGAAAATGACTCAATCATGACGATCGTATCTATCATGAAAACTGATTCTGTACTTGGTTGTCCATATTACGAAGGACTTGGACGTCGATTAAGTTTATTAGCATGTAGTTGGGATCCAGAAGCTGGTCAACGAAATAACACAACAACAAATTTGGATTCCAATGTTCCACGAAATATTCATCGTAGTAGTTCAAATACATGGACTTCACAAAAATCAATTGAAGATACAATCTGGAATGAATCAAATCTCTTTGATCTTGAAATGAGATTAACACAATGTGAAGAAGAAGGAAATTATGCTCGTGCTGCAGCATTAGCAGTTTTTCATGGAGATTTACATGCTGCTGTCACTCTTTTGCAAAAAGGAGCAATGTGGATTACACAATTACAGCATGACAAGCCGGATAAATTAATTCCGTATACATCTGATTTATTGCAATTAATTGCTATGTCGATTGCAGGGTATACAGCATCTATCTCAAGTACAACAAGTTTATCTTTATGGTTAAATATGACTCAACAACTCTTAAAACGGAGTGAAATTATGTCTCAAAGTACCCCTCGATATTTTCATGCAATGTTATTGTTCTTATGTGTGGCATCGGATACAAATGTACGATCAAATGTACCCCCTTCTCGACGTTCGAATACTCGACGACAATATGGAATTAGTGAGATAACAAGTGCTCAACCAGGTGCTTATTCTGGTATTTTAGATGATATTACACTTCCATTAAGTGATCGTCTTGCTTTTGCTTGTCGATATCTTCCTTCTAATGAACTTGTGACGTTTCTTACACGACATGAAGACGAAAGTGTACAATTTGGACGATTAGAAGGCATTCTCGTTACTGGTGTGAATCAAAATGGAATTCGAATTCTTCAAACATATTTAGATCGAACAGGAGATGTTCAAACATTGGCAATATTAGCTGCACGTCTATCATCTTCATATCTTGAAAAGCATGGAATATTAAATCAATGGATTCAAACATATCAAGAATTATTAAATCAATGGCAATTGTATCATGAACGTGCTCGCTTTGATGTTGGACGGACACATCATTCAACAGTTGTAGTAAATACCCATCATGATGGATCAAAGGATACAAGTATTGTCGTACCCCCTCAATTATTTGTTCGATGCAATTATTGCAATGCATCACTTTCTTTAGCTGGGTTACTGCGTTTAGGTGGTTCCCATTCTTCATGGTTAAATCGTGCCAAACCGAAACTTACGTGCTGTCCAACATGTCAAAAACCATTACCTCAATGTGCTTTATGTTTACTTCCATTTGGATCGTTAAATCCATACTTTGAACTAGCACATCGAAGGTCAAGACAAACAGCAGATGCCGTACAGTCGGTTATAAATCCACTTTCTATTGAAACTGGTCGAGTTGTCAAAGAACCAAATTTGGGTAAAAAAGAGTATGAAAGTTTGGCCCAATTATCAAGTATCCCATTTGTGGAATGGTTTACGTGGTGTCAAGCGTGTAAACATGGTGGACATGCACATCATTTAGCAACATGGTTTCAATGTCATACATATTGTCCAGTTACAGATTGTAAGTGTATGTGTCAATTATTGGATGTGCCACTTGTACGTGAAGAACAGATGCAATGTATGGTACAACCACGACAAAGTGTGGATCAGCAACTTAAGATTGGGGATAAAACAATGAGAAAACAAGCTAGTGCAAATACGCAACAGTGGCAAGTGGCACAACGTACGACAAATGGAGCTACATTTCGTACCCATTCTTCGGCTCACCTTCGACCAAGTGGTACATCAAGTGGTTACCCACCACCATTTTCTTTATCAAGCAGCAATTCAATGGCAAATTTAACAAGTGGCATGACTACAAGTGGTACAAGCAACAATATACATGCAACTCTGAGTGATGGTCTTACACTTAATACTAGATTGGAGCAAATGGAACACGAGAAGACCAAATTTTCGTACATGTGACCCATTTTAAAGTCAAAACTACACAATGTCATGTTAAATGTACCAATGGCATACCTAAACGAGCAATACGACGACGATAATCTTCCGTAATTTCTTGCTCTGATGTACCCAAGCGCTTAATAGCTCGCTCTCGCTGCAATTGCTCGTCATTAAAGCCAAACATCAACTCAACTTTACTAGTAGGTTGTATCTGTGATACACCAGTGTATTTTCGTAATTCTTCGCTCTCAATGAGATCACTGTCACAAATACCAAGTTTTTTCATTCCTTTTTCCTTTTTCACAATGTCATAATTCACACCAAGACGATCGAGAGCATGAGGACTGATCTCATCTGGGTACATGATCCGTCGTTTTCCTGATATAGTAGTAGATGTACTCATTGTACCAAGTTTTGGAGCTATAGGAGTTGGAAGAATTGGTTCCATATTCGTGGTGGAAGTCCAAATGCTGTCTGTACTAGTCATTCGGACTGGTACATCTGTTGAAGGCATTTGAAATGGAATCTCGTTCTCAATGTCTTCAAGCAGTAAATGAGAGGATCGAGAGATCTCGAATCTTGACTTGGAACTCGACGCTATGGTATTACTACGTTTCTTCACGTTTAAGAGAAGTCAAGAATGAACGACTAGACGTGATTTCAAACTTTTCGAGGACGTTTAAGATGCTATTTATAAAGGAACGGATCTTAGAGCTACTTTAGTGAAGAGTGTTTGTAATTATATCTTACTTACAATTTGATGTTAAGTTGTTCTAGATTTTATTTTAGTATCAGAACGATTTAGAAGTCATTTGCGGCTTAATGCAGCAAAGTGTTATCGCTCTAGGTTCTTACCTTCTTCATCTTTCTTTAAAATTTCTATATCATCATGGACATCACTTGTCTACAACATCGCGTATTAAAGAAGAGCAAAGTGCAAGAAAAATAGACATTTCATAACTCTAGAAGCAAATCTTCCAGATTACGTCCTAACTGACAAAAAGGATCCTTATTAAACTTGACACAACTTATAACAGTTCAAGATAAACATATAACTCTTGCGATAATAGATAAAATTGTGTATCGGTGAAATTGTCGGTTCATAGTTAAGAAATAGATAAAGTCGTGAAGCACAGCGTTCGTCTTGCCTCATGACATGACGTTCACATCATCATCGCAGGCCTCCGATCCGTAAATAGAAGACACAAGTACATTTAAACGATTCCGTAAGCGATCGTTTCGTTCACGTAAATCCTGAACCGCCTGTGAAAATTAATACAATCCAAACTTTAAATCACCCAGCTACTACAAATCCCAATAAATATTAAAATACCTGCTGGCTCCTTTCCAGCACGACTTTCTTGCGAAGACGCGCTCTCCGTGCATGCAATCGATTGCGCTCGCGTCGGACACGCTCACGCTCTTCTTTTGAGCAGACCATTGAATTGCTGCTCATTGTAGACATATACGATCGTTTGCCGTTAATATTGAACTCTTGCTCATGCGTCTCGTCAATCTCAACATCTCCATCGCTCTCGTGCGAGAGATTTATCGCCTCACATAGTTGACCATCTTCGTCTCGATCTTCTGTCGAGTTCATACCCACTAGCTCAAGTTTTTGCACACAAGGGGCATTTCGAACGTTTCCAAGTCGTAAGAGACATACTGCTGTAGCATGGAAGTCGTAAGCTTGTTTTAATAGTTCATACTCATCTTGCAAAGCTTCAATACGCTCCTTTAAACGCTCTAAAAGCTCACGTTTACGAATACGCGTGCGTTGCGCATGCAATCGGTTACGCTCTCGACTGACGCGTAGTTTCTCCTCCTCTTCAGACATTTCATTCGTATTGTGCACTTGTGTAGGTGAATTTAGTTGAAACAACGGTAAGATCATTTTTGGCTTTGCACTCTCTTTCTTAACAGGTGAAGTATTGAGGTAGCCGCTGGTAGGTTGGACACTTGTGGGCGTACGCAAGTTAACAGCGTCATTAACGCTATTGTGATGTTTCCGACGGATAAAATCGGGTAGTGGTACACCAAAATAACGCGCCATGTCTTCCTCATGCTGCTCGCGTTGCTCCTCGCTCTCGTACGACAGCAAAATTGCTGTGGGACACTCAAAAAGTGGTCCGATAGGAGGCAAGACAATGGGCATCTTGTAATCTAGTGACATGCGTCTGGCTGATCAAAACTTAGGTTTTGTGCTTAATTGATGGATGATCCTTTATGGTCGTTGTGAGAGACTCGCCAAGTTGCTAAGCAGGATGCTTTGAGTGGTGAAGAGGCAATTACTAAATAGTCTAAAACCTGCTGACGTACGGAAAGCTGTGACTGGTCTTTTTTTCGAAGCCGGTCGAGTACCTGGCTTTACTGACTTTAGAAAAAAGTGGCATTATAGTTTAGAGCAATTTGAAGCTACGAAAACTACCTGGTTTAAGAACTTCTAATGACAATTACAACATGTTTCCTTACGAGCTGATTGGCTACGCAGGGACGCGTACGCATGGGATTAATTCCGCCTTTAATATATAAGTACTAGTGTATATGGCCACGATCTTTATGGAGACATTGAAGTTCAAGCACGAATTACAAAACATGGGAATAATGACTTCTCCATGGGATTATGGCAGTAACTCCTGGGTGATTCTTGGCACCTTGTAAGTATATTGTGATAATTAATGGGTCGCGCCGGTTCGTGAACTTTATTTTAGGGTGATGGACAACGGGTTACATGTGGTGGCGGAACTTCAATATGCCTATCACAATGAGTGAAATAAGCATTCGCGCGGATTGACAGCTTAAAGTGTAGAACATTTCGATTGCATATCATGCAGGTGGAGTAGTGCGAAGCTGTTGCACGTCATTTATGAGTAAAGGTGCTATTTAAACCGCATGTTTTGGGCGAAAATTTTAGACGAGCTGTAGAAAGATTGGAAAACGCAGCATCTTTGTTAGCTGCGGGCAAATCAGATATTCTGATCGAAGGGATTGCACGAAAGCCATACAAATTCGTGAATTATATAGTCACATGGAAAATCGACCTTTCCATAAAGTTGCGTCGTAATAAATTAGTACTATCTTGTACTATCCTATACAACGACATTTATTTTACCTGCCATCAGTCATGTCTTGCTCGTAACACCTAGAATGTGATAACCTTAGAGCATCTATCCGGTTATTGTCTAAAGCTCTAGTCATAAGCTAGTAGCTTGACCAATTTACTTCTGTAGACGAGATGCTTAAACACAACTTAAAGTGTTTAGTATTATAATTAACTTACTAGACCCATCGATTGCTTGGAAATGAAATTGTGCGTTGTTGTTTTCGGTCGCCATCTATGCTTTATGAAACACATCCTTCGGCTTATTGTCTGACTACCCAGGTGATGGTCGGAATGTGCTGAGTCCCAAACTGTATCATTCGCTCTTTCTTGCTCGTTTTGCTACCCGCCTATCCAGCCTCGCGTACTACACTAATACTGAATCTCTACGTACTTATGTCGTCGCGACTTTACTAAGTCAAATAGCCGTGCAACATGCAGCATATGCAGACCAACCATCTTTGTGGACAGAAACATTTCGACTTAATTTCACGACATTAATAACAATTCTGTAATTATTATGACAATTACTGTCGAGATGAAAGGCTTGCGTTCGTTTACTCATTTCTTAGTTAATTAGTCCTATTGTGGGTGCATCTTTGTAACAAAACAACTACAATGACCATCCAAATAAAATAATGACATAATTGCCAATACAGTACAACGCTCAAAGTCATATCTTCAATATTAATACACTTAAATCTTATAATTAAACACAATAGTATTGCACACTTTGTGGAACTTCAATGCAATACTTTGATGAATCAACGATCCAGCCAGTTTTCTTGGAATGTTAAGATCTACCGCAACATTAAGACGTCAGACTCGCCTCAATCCTGACTAGTCCTTTGGACTATCTCATACCTGTCACTACTACAATAACTTCAACAAGACTAAAGACGCTCATAAATCGAGCATCGACTCACGACAATTCATATTCGTTCGCAGTCTATAGCTCAAATTTAGCTTCCAATTTTTTCGAAAGAGTATAAATTTCCTATTTATGACCTATCCAATAACATACCATCAGAATTTTACTATGAATTTTCAATAACTTAAAACTTCCAATCTCCAATCGTTAAATTTCAAATGGAGCTCGAAAAGGAATTAGTGCGCGTATTACGTCCTCTAACTCTTGGGTCTGTGCCAGAGAGTGCAATCTCGTTACTATTTGATACTGGTGGTACTGCTGCAGTGCGTGAAGAATGGGCTGAGAGTGTCACACGTCGTCAACTACGTGCAATAGATAAAGTATTTACAAAGTATCTGCGGCATCAGGGAGCAGATGAACAAGTAGCACATTTCTGGCGCTATTTTGCATCCCAAGAAGCAATTAACAGTATAATTGAACCACAAGAAGGGGACGAAAATAGTGAAGCCGTCTATCGCTCGCTCTTTACTCTTCTTCAAGCTGTTGTGAATGTACGCGAAGTTTACGCCAATCTCACGGACGTTGAAAAGCGCTGTGCATTACTAAAAGCATTAGTGGCTAGTAAAGTGTATTTAACATGGTTACAGTTTCCAGGTGGATCAGCGTACGGTCTGTTTATGGCCTACGTGTATCGTCAGGTGTTAGATATACTTAAGAAGTGGGTTATTCTTTTAGCAAATAAAGACTCAGGACAAGGTGGTATCAAGAAGAAACAATCACGACGTAATCGACGACGATGTACTTCTAGGAAATCGAAAAGTAGTGATGAAGACAGTGAATTGGATAGTCACGAATTGTATCAACTTATTACAAATTACGGATTTGAATTAATGGACATGATGATACAATTTCTCGGGAATTTTTCACTCTCAGCTAGTATTGAATCGATTGTACCAACAATTGAAGCAATTATTGCTGTCCAGACTTCGGTATTACCTGAAAATGAAGCCATTGCGTCAATGATTACAATGAAATCACTGCAAATATTAGAAGCACTTGTTAACGAAAGACATGGTGAACCATTACAAATTGGACGAGTGATTCTGCATTGTTATATTCCTGGTGTGACGTTCCAAGAGACAATAGCAAAAGAGAATCGAGTTTCATTACGTTTTCATAAGCTTGCCATGGATGTGATGATGAAAATTCAGCATATTGTTGCCAAACGTTATGAAGGAGATGATGTGGATGGCACAAGTGAACGGGAGAACTCATTGATGCTATTAGGATTGATACAAAACATTTGTCTACAGGCACCAGGTCTGGCTGATGAACGGCAACGGGTTTTATCATTTGTAGTATCAATGGTGTTAGCAGGACGACACGATTGTGAACTAACAGAAAATGTACGACCAAACGCGTTTCGAGATGAAGAGTGTGTACGACTCATGCGTTTTCTCACAAGTTATTCTCGCAATTCTAAGCTCAAATACCGACAATTTGCAGTAGAATTATTGAGTCGCTTTGTGATGGAGAAAAGACTTTGGGCTGTGAATACAAGTGACCTTTCGGAAGCGTTGATTCCGTACGCTGGAGTTGGTCCACTCCTTGAAGTTCTTATCGATCGCGCTTGTGATAAAATGTCTCAAGTTCGTACGAAAGCAATTGGAGGCATCTCAGCGATGCTGACTCTCGGTTTATCAAACTTAGCTCCTAGTGAAGACACAGACGAAGATGAGGCTATGAATGGATCCATCACAAACTCTCTATCAAAACTGCTGTACGAGTCATCAATTGATGAGAATGGAGTTAAAAAATACGAGAAAAGTCAATTGATGCAGCGTCTTGTCGACCTCTTTCGAGAGCGAATACTGGACGAAAAAACATTTGTACGAAAAGCAGCAGTGCATGCACTTGAAGCTCTGATAACGGCACATTCAGGGGACAAAGTCCATACATCGTCGAAAAAAGATCTTTTCGACATTCATGCGCGCTGCACTGACTCGTCGGTTATTGTTCGTGTACAGTCGATCAAGTCTTTGTCAGCAATTGTGCTCAAGTTCCCGCGAGATGAAGATGCTCAGAAGCTTTGGAATCTTGGCGTACTTCCATTGTGCGTAGATCCAGAGACGAGTGTTCAGTCTTGCGCTTTAGATGCGGCAGAAAAAGTCGTCTTTGATCGAGTACTCGCTTGGTACGACGCACGTCGAAATGAGTCACTTCGTGAGACGCTCGACTGTGTTTGGTTGCAAGTGTCCCATCTTGATGGTGTAATGGCTCGATGTTTACAAAAGGCGTTGCAAATGCTGACCAAAAATGAAAAGATTGACGTTGAAAAGGTCATTTCAGCGTGTGTTGTTGCCATCCAACAGAGCATAAGTGCGTACAATGAAGACGACGACAAAGTGCCAGAAGAGACGGAAGACGATGCTACGCGTCGTCTTCTAACGCGTTATTGGGGGTTCAGCTGGATTGTTTTAGAAGAGTTAGCACATTCTGGTCATTTAATTGAGACTGTGATAGGAAAGGAGCAGAATCTTCGCATTGTCGTTGAGTGCTGGAATAAATTACAAGATCAAGCACTGCCGATGGAATTTAACGATGGATCAAAGCGTATTCTACGAGTGATCGCTGCAATTTCTACTGTTATTGACGCACAGGACGCCAAATCGATTGCTGACGGTATCTTAGCGTCATTGCATTCATTTGCAATTCCATTAAATGTCATTTCTGACGGTATTCTCGCTCTTTACAGCATTTGCAAAGCCAAAGCGCCATCTCCGGAAAAGAGTCGTGAGATTTGTTTTGCGTGGGGAATGAAGCTATTGGAATTGTGCGAAGTGAATTTGCGCAAGTGCTTTGAAAGCAGTAGTGACAGTATGGAAGAAGAAACAGTTCTGCTGCAAAAGCAATTGATTACGATTGGTGAAGTGGCACTACTTGAGTTTGACAAAAATGCTGACAAGAGTCATGAAGCAGCATTGTTGCCCGTCAGTTCATCTCTTCAATCGCTCGTAAAACTTTTCTTGCCGCCAAAGTTCGTGTCTAATGGCATCGCTATGTCACAAACTAATTCATCTGTTGACGGAGAAGAGACACGCTCATTTATTGCAGAACCAGTTGTGTTGCCCACTCCTGTCCGTGTGTGTGCTTTTGTAACATTAGGCAAGCTATGCTTACGTGACAGTGACTTAGCCAAACAGTGTATGACTGTATTTATTCGTGAATTACGAACGTGCGAAGAGCAAGACATTCGATCAAATATTCTGTTGATACTAGGTGATCTCTGTATTCGGTACACGTCACTTGTCGATGCTTATGTTTCGACCATTGCTTTGTCACTGCTGGATGAAAGTCGTTTATTACGTCGCAATACACTGCTTCTATTCTCTCAATTAATTTTACAAGACTTTATCAAGTGGCGTGAGTCATTACTGCGTTTCTTTCTGCGTGCAGCCATTGATGAAGATGAGGAATTGGCAAACTTGGCGCGTCATGTGCTTTGTGGTCCACTCTTGCAGAAATCTCCGCACATTTTCACTAACAAATTCATTGAAATGATCTTTGTTTTAAATGGCATTCAAGGTAATAAGATTAAGTTTATAGAGCCATTTGAAGAGCAAGGAACACTTGAGCTTGCGTTACTGGGTGAAGCATTGTACCCACGACGAGCAAAGCTGTACAGTTTCTTATTAGAGCACATGTCGGACGAACAGAAACTACAAATTTCCATGAAACTCTGCAATGAAGTTCTTGAAGAAGTGATGGAAGGCACATTACCACTGTGTGAGAATCCGTCGCAGATTACTGATCGTAGCATAGAGGCTGTGTTGAAGGATGTATTTGCTATTCTGTGCTCTCCAGAGATTAAACTTACATCATCTAAAGATGAAGACGAGGAAGGCGAAGGAGAAGATGCGGTTGCAGGCGTCGCCAATGTAGCGACTCAACTTGCTGCTGCTAAGGGGAAATTGCTGTCGAAACTTTCAAAAAAGAACTTTCTTGAAAACGTTGTCCCGGTGCTCATTGGTCTCAAACACACATTGGAAGCAAAACACAGTCCATTAACGCGCTACTTGCTTCACTATATTCGTGAGTTATTCAAAATGTACCGTCAAGAAGTGAAGGATATTTTCATGACAACCGATCCACAAATGGCCATGGAAGTCGAGTACGATTTGCGACAGCTTGACTTGCAACAGCAATCACGTCGTACGATATGTGCTTCTGATGATGTTGAGACTGCTATGGAGTCACCACAGCGTGCTGATAAATCGTCCAACGTACCTCAGGAAGAGATGCTTGAAGCAAGTCACGCACCGCTGCGTTTACGCAAGAATGAGAAGAAAGCGACGCGTCAAAATGAAAAAAATACTCAGCCTTCATCAAATGACGAACCTTTGATCTTTTCTCCTAGCCAAGGCTACTCGAATCGTGAAAACTGGCATATGACTGCCAAATCACCTTCAGTGGATAAGCTTTCAAGCCGCAGTTCGAATCAATTTACCCAAAAAGAGCTTGAAGATCAGATGCAAAAGGACTTAACAGCTACATTCGAATCGACGAGTGATGTTGAAGAATGTGTGCCTTCAACTGTCAATACATCTCGACGGAGAGCAAAAGCAAAGGCTAAAGCCAAAGCAAAAGCGAAAAAGAGAAAAGTAATAGAACAAGTACAACAAGTGGAGAACAGTGTGGAAGAAGAGAGTGCATTGCTTCCACTAAACAAGTTAAAAAAGCGTTCAAAAACTAAACACAAGCATCATGTTGCTGCAAGTTCTCGATCGAAACGGAAGCGTAAGTAGCTTCTCAAGTCGTCGTTGTCATCCTTTTTGTCAACTATGTCGCTTCTCCTTTTCAAAAGTAGAGAAATGTGCCAAGAATTGTGTCGTCTATCATTATCTAAACTTATCGAATGATACCATTGTTTACAGGAGCTGTACATGGACCTGCTGACGTATTAAACACGTGTTCTTTCCACATAGCGACACCATTTTCGTCCGTTTTCATGTCATCACCTAATACCATGAGAACCTTCTTCTTCTCCACTTGAGCAGGTGTATATGGCTCGCCCCTAAGGTCATCAAATGTGATACGTTCACCAATTTGAGCACTTTCGGGAGGTGTCACAAATGCTACTTTTTCCGTACCATCCTCTAAAGGAACAGCAGCACATAAGACCATACCATGACTCCGAAATCCAACGAGGTTACGTGGTTTAAGGTTACACAAGACCAAGACACGACGGTCTTGCATCTCTTCAAGCGAGTAGTGATACACTAGACCACTGGCAATATGACGTGGTTCGTCTTCGCCTACATCAATTTCTTCGCAATAAAGTTTGTCAGCACTCTCATGTTTGTAAACTTTGACAATTTTGCCAACACGAATGTCAAGTTTTGTGATCTCAGGCTGATTGGGATCAGCAGCAGGAGTCTTGGGCGCTTTAGGTTTCTTTACTTTGACCTGTTGCTCCTTTTTCTCTTGTGGCTTCTTATCGTTAACGATTGGGGCATTGGCTTCAATGCCAAGGTTCATCTCAAGGGAGCTTATGACGCTCTGAAGTTGCTCGGCAGCGCTCATAAGTGGATGGACAGCACGATGAGAATGATTTTTTTGGTTACTTATTTATTAAGATTAGATCTCGAATTTGTGGTGAATTTTATATTGCCAGCATTTTTGATACTCTATGACCTTTTATCGCTAAGTTATGAAGGTTCACCTTGTTTGAAAAATCATACTAGTATGGATGCATGCCCTCATTACCGAGATGATTGTTTCGATTATATCATTCGACCATCTGAATGGCACTCGCCTGACGATTAGTATGGTTATCGCTTGACAGAAGTACCATTAACTGTTGGTCAATAAATGTTCTATACTATGATGAATTGAATACTTATCAACAGACAGATGATCTGTTCGCGTCCGCAAGAGGCAAGTCTAAAAAAAACAATAACTGACCGCAAATGCTCAGCGCAGAACGTCGTACGCAGAATCTCAACAAAATCATCCTACTATCAAGCAATGTTAGCATGCGTGCTACATAAAAAATGGGCCCTGTGCCGCACGCGCTTTCCACTAAACATGAAGAATCGGTCTTGGTTCGCGTTAATCTTGACCGGTTCCTATATCTGACAGACTCGAGGTTATGAGCACAGCTAATTTAAGCATAGTTACAAGGCGAGGGGAGTGACCGTCGCGCTGCCGACTCCGCACTTTGTGCTTTGCAATGTCAAGCGTGAAGCGATTTTCTAGGTGGACGTCATCTAAAGTTGTTCGTGCAGCCATAAAACTGCTAAGTCGGCGAGCCTTTCTTACCTTATGTTCAGAATTAGTTCTCGAGACTTTCACTAGGCCGCTGACAGATCACAAACGCTCTGATTGAAGATAACACAGCCGCTACTCAAATTGCAAGAGGTTTTCCTGAAATGTTGAGTCCTAAGAGGTCAGTGTCACGAAGTGAGTCTCGCGTAGACTTTCGAGATTAAAGATTTCGACGCATAAGGATAGTAAAGAGGGACAGGTGTTTTAAACTATTTCTATAGAACAAGTTTGTAGCCGGAAGAAGCGTAACGACATTAAGCTGTCACAAGGGTCATGTGTATCATATAAGCAGTTCAATTTTAGTCAATCGTATGAGTGTTTACGGCAAAATTAAAGTTCTGCATTATTATGAGAGTCAACAAACAAAAAGGCGAATATCTCAAAACGCAAAAACAGTAACAATACCATCAATACCTTTGGTCGTCTCGAAATTTTGATTGCTCACAATTTGTCCGCGTAAGAGCACGAGCACGCCATACGTGTCTACATCTTCAAATTGCCTTACAGTCTGAAAGACCTTATACGCATGCTGAAGATGATGATGAGCAAATTGATAACGCGAAAAACAAGAAGTCTGTCCGTAAAAGCTAGTGCATTGTAGATAAGAGAGAGCGAGAATATCGTGGTATATGCGAGAATGGAAGCGTCGAGCTTCCACTGGCTCTTCACGCTTCGAGGTATGGAATGTCGTGAGTCCATGTCCTGTGCGCTGTATTGCAGAGTCGCCGTAAGCCTTGTGCGGATAAATCTATGAATCAGTAAGTCCACGCTTATAAACACACGATTGTGCGCATCACCAAGGACCGAAACCGAGAGCCTCTCTGGTACACAAAATTCATAAAGATATAGTTGGCAATAGAATTATATGATAATGATACTTAATATACCTTTTTCGCAAAACAGTAACTACCACGCTTGACGTAATTACCACACTTAACTTCTACATATATACTGATTCACGTTACATCCCCACCACCAAATATTGACCAACCTGAGGCTCACAATTCTTCTAATCTCCAAGACATTGTGCAGGGTTTAAGCTTTAGGAGCATTCACAACGCTTCAGGTAATATTTCATTACTTGTACCTTATAGTACCTGCTCCTACGATCAACATCGCGTTCAGGGGTCATTTTCCTTTGCGCACCCTCATTTAGCCCGACAAGAATATATAGCGGACGGACCTCGCGCCCGACGACCTTTAGGTTGCTATGGGTGATGCGGCCAAGATGTTCTCCTAATAGAGCGGTCGTACCGACGCTTCGAGTCCTGCCCGAAACCTTAGCCTTTACTGAGAGATACACGTGAGGGCCGTTTACCGAAAAGCATATTACACCCACCCGATTCCGACTTTAAATTACGCTAATTACCCACGCTCTGTTCACTTCCTACGGCGAATGATTTTGTAACATTCGGCGAGGACATCCAGACCATCATCACCAATTAAATAGACCTGGATCTGAGGGCTGGAATTGACCGTCTTCAAGCATCAGAGTAATAATGACATTTATCGCCTTTATGTCATCGTGAATTCGGTAAATTACTCAAAATTTTGCTGCATTTCGAGCCGTGATGAACTTCTTTTCATGCATATGCGTGCGGGCCATGTCCTCACAACAAAGCAACATGAGCACTTGAATCCACAAGCACCTGTTCCCTAAGATCACCACACTTTACATGTACCGCCTGTTCTTGGATCAGCAGTGTTCGGCTAAATCTGTACTCACCACGAGAAACTGAAGTTAAGTGGCGAATCAGTTGACGATATTCACAATCAATTCGCACATTAGTGGAGAAGACGCGCCATTTCACGTGCCCTGCAGCTTTACAAGCATGCTTCAGAGCAGCAGACATTCTATAATGGCATCAAATGATGCTTGGCTTGCAAAATGCTATAAATGACGCGGACGTCAATGCAGAGCTGCGTCATCAACTCTCTTGCTGTTAACAATGTCGCTTATATTTATGGGACAGCTATTACAGCAATCGACCAATACTTAAGCCTGTAAAATCGCATTTGTACCCATAGTTATGAAAAGCGCGATGCGTGGTACGACCATTCTCTTATCCTGAAGAAAGAAAAGTAAAAAGTGCGCTGTATCCTAAGCGTCGACAGCGTCCAAAAAACCTTGACGAAGTGGGAGCTCTAACTCTCATCGGGTCGAAAGGTGTCTCTTCGAGATCACGAAATATTAGTAGCGATTCAGGTGTACTAGCCGATCTACTAATCATTCTACGTCATACCTTGCTCATCGAGTGCTGCCAAAGAGCGACTCATTCGCTACTAGCTCTCGTGATCTCCATCAACTACGACAGCACGTCGACTCTCTCCAAGAGTCTCGAAATGCAGCCCATCCGTATCTAATGGTCTCATAAATCTTAATGATGTAGTAGCAGATGGTAGCTTAGTGCGGCAGAATAATACGCGGCTCTATTTTTTAAATGCGTCTTAAGCTCGTCTAGCTTGTATCGTGAGATAAATGAGCAAGCCCACGTTAAACACAATATTTTCTGGCATCTTTGGGACGATACGAGGGCAAGTCTTACCCTTTTTCGCTTTTTTGTGAGCGTCCTAACATAGCTTGGCCGCACCATATTCGTTCAGACCCCAAAACATGAATGTGTAAGAAGCTTAGAAGCTTATATCAAAAAATATTGTATTACCCCAGCCATATATTTATGTGACTTCGGTAGGCGTGTTCTTCTGAACATCTTGACTACCAGTCATTGCGCTGCGCACCCGTCTCATGACGCCTAGTTTATTTTAATCAAATTTGTTATTTACTACGAAGTTGCGCCGGGCTGATAGTCAATGTCAGCATCTCTTTTTCATCATCAGGTACAAAGTCATTTTGTGTTAATGTCAAGAGCGTAATAAGGCACAGAAAATGTCTGTAGCAACATGCTGTGCATTTTAGCAAATTATTGAGTGAGCGCAATTCGCTCCAGGTCGCGTCCTCCCAGTACAAGTGCTTTAAAGATACCTTCCATCAAGCGATAAAAAGTTTTGTCCGACCATGTGTCTGTAGATGGTCCGTGCAGCGTGACTAAATTACTGCCGAGCATCCCACACAAATTTTGTCAGAGTTCTGCTGAATAGCGCGGATCGAGATCCGGCAAAATGCCTAACGACAGCCATGGTAACAAGAACTCTGACAGAAAGCGGCTTGGCTATATCCTTACCGTTCGTACTATCGCTGACAGCAGCAAAACAAACCACTTTTCGTAAGTGGCTATAAAGACCGCAATACCAGTATAACCGAACGTGTCATATAAAAGTACAAATTAGACTATATGTATGGACTGTCAACACTTTGCTGGACTTGACAGGCTTAATCGAAGGCACTGACCCATGCGGCAAATATTTTGACAGCTGACACGGTACGCACATACACAAATACCGATAGGGCTACCGATACACTAGACAATTAAATGTCGCTAGTGCATTTGACAGTTCTTGCGGTGTTACTAGCAACTTCAAGGGAAGAACTGAACACAGTGAGCGAAACATTCACTGCCTGCATGAAGCAGTTGCTAATCTCCATTGATCAGGTGAAGGGCACTGAACAATAAATAATTAAGTCATGCTATTCTGCAGCACGTTCTTTGCTGAGATCAAAAGTTGTGCCAGAAAAGTGGATGCTTTAAATTGTATACGCATTCACATTTTACCACTTGTCATTATCCTTTCTGACACAAAATAAATGCACCAATTCAAAATACTATTACCCACACAAACTGCTTGACGCTTCAAAAAAGCCTCAATCGAGAGACTCAGTATTAGCTTGGCTGTTGTCTTGTAAAAAATGTTTGACGCCAGAACCAGGTCAATTTTACGTCGTACATCCCAGACAAGCACCGTCTGGAGAGGTCAAGCTTCATAAATTAGCGACGAGCTTGGATGGGGTGAGTGGGCTTGAATCGGGACTCGTAAATTTCTTTGACCATCGTCAGAAGCTTTAAAAAAAACAAGTGTGTCCCTGGTTTTCTTTTGCAAAATGCCGTTAGATGGTATTATCACTAAAATGGCACAGACAGTATCAAGGAGTAAGCTAAGTTCATCATCCGTCATGGATAAGTCTGTCATTACGATGATCACCGCAAAGTGAGTGTGATAAGTGATAAGGTGTTCTTAAGAATCTTAGATGTTCATTTTATCTCTTAAAGGAATGCCACGACGTGGTGAAATGAGATTCGTCTTGCATGTTGCCCGGCATGCCACATGGCAACGTTAAATTAGAACTACCGTCACATTGTAACAAGGTGGGTATCCTTAAAATAAGATGACTGTTTACATTACAAAGACATTACAAAGACCACAACACACAGGCGATCATAATCTCTACCTGTTCTTAAGCATGAGGGTCCATCTTCAGCTGTAATCAAACCTTCTGACCGAGGTTTAGTCTTGTGACCGCGGAACTCAGTCGCTCAATCTTGTCTACACAGTCATATACCAAAGACCGCGATGTGCGATCGCTATAGACTGTCTTGTTTTTGAGACCGCGACTCAGTGCCGTTTTTGCTCCGCTCCAAAAAATTGCTATATTTTTCCGAATTATAAAGCAATTTCATGTTATGCACGTCAGCTTTCAAAGCTTCTAGCCCGCACCAACACACTTCTGTTCCCTAGCAGAGGCAAGTACGACTCACTAATACACCGCCAGGAGATAAGTAACTGGCATATCCAATGTATTCGGCATTCATTCGATCCCAGCTTCATTGCGCTTAACACAAGCCATATCCATATCTAGGATGGTATCTTATTGTGAGTCCAGGCCCAGCACGAGACTGCATTCCACGCGACCAAAGCCCTCAAACTTCACTAAAAAAACTTAACTCCGTCTCAGACATTGTATACGTATTTGTCATCTTCAATAATGCCTACTAGTTTTGAAAGTCGATCTGTATGTAATTGCACAACGATTCTGAATTTATCATGACTTTCTACAGTCTCACAAAATTCTGGGGCGACGATGCTGACAGCAAACGACCCAAAGCTGTGAGGTCAATTCTTTTACAAAGAATTGCATCTTCAAGGCTGGGTTTCTTCGGGTTTGATCAATACAAGCCCAGTTTTTTGTTCTTCGCATTTGACCGCCCCGCAGTTATAAGAACTCGACATTTCGACGCGAGGGGCTCGTCATGCTGTCACAGGTCTAATACCTGGGTGTACTACGGCGCTGCTAGACAGCACTGTATTCGCTTTTTTCTCATCAGCATAAATGAAGCCCATCATCTCGGGTGCGCTTGCAGAGCCTCTACCTCCCATATTTCTGCTTTCTTTTGCCGAACGGAGGTGATACTATAAATTAAATACGAGATTCACCGTATCTCCGAGCGAGTTTGGCGAATACGGAAGTGTTCGGTGTTGGATACACCTCGACGCGACCCGTTATGGAGATGGTGATCGTTACCGCCATCAGGAGAGGATATATTAGCGTCCTGGCGATGAGGTATCTTATCGTTTATGTTCGACCCCCTTGGTGTTGAGAAAGAATTTTGAATGCACATGGTATGCTTGGTCAGGTGGTGCCCACATAAGTGAATTATGTCAATTTAATATTTCCCATATTGAGAATACCTCCTTTGCAAAATCAGTTTCTGCACATAAGTGCCCATTCTCACGTACGGCTTCATAGCGTGGTGACCGCTAATGCGACGCACCATTTAGTTGAACTTGTTGCTGTCTAAAGTTCGTTCACTTAAAAAGATGGGTTTATCTAGTACCTGCTCAAAAAGGGTTGGATGCATAGCAAATAGACTTTAAGGTGGGCACCGATTGTGTTCCGACTTTCGGTCCTCCTGAGTGTCTCACCGTTTTCTTAAGGCTGGTGAACAGCTTGAGATGATCAATTACAGCTTCCTGTCCTCGGTCATCGGATCGACTACAAGTGGTAAGGACTGCAATGGATTCCCCAGAATAATGTAAGATGAACCTTCAATTCAATGATTCAGCGTTAAGATTAGCAAGATTCATTTAAACCCGGAGGCAGGACCTTCTGAAGCAACATGATGCTTAGATTGATCCAAAAGTGACACCTCTAAAAAATTTGGACAAATTGGAAAATGACCATATACGTATACTACGCTCAGTGAATAACATTGTGAAACGAGGTCTTCAACCTCGCATTTCCTCATCAGTGCCAAAACTTGGTGCTTTTAAGGAGTGTAAAACAGTACAGCCCCTACATCTCCATTTGGTCGAGTGTTTCACAGAATCAAAAAGCTTAAGCTGTAAATAAAAATGAATTTAATAAACCTGGAGAACAATATTTTCCTCTAATTGTCCGACAAGTGTGCGCCTGTCCTCAACTTTGTACGTTTTTGCGATAAGTTACTCTCCTTGGCCCTCCAAGCGATGCTCTAAAAACCAATTTAGCGTTCTCGTGTATGCATCAACAAATTTAAGAGCTTTAATTGATTCATTCAGAGCTCTGTTGCAGTCTTCTTGCGGGCTCTATAATAATTTGCCCAAAGACTCAACTATACTCGTTCAAGACTATGGCGGCGAAATTTTCCCTGCTTAATTTTAAAGTTCATACATCAATGTTTTACCGACCGTTCATATTGAGGAGAGAACTGTGCCGATTGCATTAATAAAGCTTCTAGCAAATCTAGCTCGTGTTGAATCCCCCATAGCAGATCATCTCTTAAATTTGGCGCTTCGTCCAAAGCCCTCAAAATTAGAAGGCATGACGAGGTCTGAACCTTCCCGAACTTTATCTTGCTCGCATGATTTACGTTTCTACGGATTCCTAAATTTCATCAGCAATCGCCATCGCTGTCGGTTCAAATAGATGCGAACAAATGTCTGAATTCCTATGTAAAGCGTCTTTGATTGCATATTTCAAACACGCCTCATGGACTGACTTTTATTGATCGCGAGAATACAGATTCGTTATAAAATCTTAACGATCACTATGATGGCTGTTCCAAGAGTTTATAAATAAATGTACTTGCAAAAAATACGTAGTCCACATAATCAGCGAAATTCATTCGGGATGTCACACAACGCAAAAGTCAACCACAGCGAGCAGCCATGATGCACCGCAGCCTGATGCGATCCGGAACTGTCCTGAGCAAGCGCCCCTCGCTGGCCGTGCGTCACTTTCGCAAAAGTACCGCGCTGTTGTTTCTCTTCTTTTGTATACAAATGACTTACTGAACATGACGCAGGCAGTCCCACTAAGTATACGGAAAACAAGGAGCTCACAGGCATGGCGGGCATTTTGGAAGGTGAAATAGCTTTGGTGGTCTATACAATGTACTTAATCGTACTAACTTATTTATCTTTCTGTTGTAGCTGACAATCATGCACTTTCGGTCAAGGCAATGCATTTAACGAGCTTGGGTCTCATGGCCGCGGTGCCAGTAGCTTTTGTGCTTAGCCCTTCTCCACTTGCGTTTCCTGTAGATATGGCTATGGGTGTAATGTTACCTGTGCACGCCCATATTGGTATGAACAATGTCATTTCCGACTACGTGCCGCAGAGTATGCGCACACTTGCCCGCTTAGGCTGGCTCGGTGCGACGTCACTGATGTTCGTGGGCCTTCTACGCGTTAATTTGGAGGGTCCTGGCATTACGGAGGTGGTGAAAACTATTTGGCGGGAGTCGCCAGAGAAGAAGAAAGTCAAGGCATAAATGGTGATCAGATACTAAACTTGTGCATCTCTATCTCAAAAGTATTCAACGGCAATGAAAGCATTTAAGCGCTGCGATTTATAGAATCGCTTCTCGCAAAGCGCTATAAACAATAATAGCATTTCGTTTATTGCTTGCTCTAATTAGCAGTTCTAGAAATATGCATTTCTACATGAAAACGTCTTACAAATTTTTTGTATCGATTTGTCCTTCCAGCAAACTAAAATGGGTCAAGTGATCAAACAACAAATCCGATAGCTATTGTTCTATGAAACTTAAAAGGTGATAAAGAATACCAAAAAAAATTGATCTCGTCCACGCCGTAGCGCAAGAGAACATATACGAGGGTATGCGTTGATCGCATGAAGGATGCTACATTTTAAAACATGTGTTTCAAAAAATAGAAAGATCAGATCAGCCAAAAAAATCAAAGTGCTAATAATATTTGTGATTATTAGCTTGCTGTCGAGTGGCGATTTAGTAAGCCGAGGGTTTTTCAAAGAATTGCCACTTCTGGGTCAAACTCGAGTTCGAGCAAGTGAAGAGCTGAATACGATTCGAGCGTAGTATATCAATGTCAAGACATAAGCCAACGTATGAGGCGTGCTTGAGCTGTTTGGAGTCAGGGTCAAAATTCCACTTTTGATTGCGTTCGGTGTCAATGCAAGGCCACATGTGGACGAAACCGCGGTCTTGAGGCTGGTAAGCGTCAAGACACTGGAAATTGCTCTGGCAACGCAATTGTTGCGTATCAGGATTCCAGCGCCATACCTGCTCTTCCGTAGCCATGGTATCATTCGACTTTTCCCACATGTAAACTTCGTTCACAGATTCCGACAAGTACAAACTCGTCGCTTCATTCTGGATGAAGTTCGCATTTGTCAGGGTGATGTTCAGTTGGTCAATGTTTGGCTTAAGAGTGTTGTTTGTGAAAAGACCAAAGTTTGCCTCGATCTCTTTCACACGCCATGGCTGGTCACTGGAGGTGTACCAGTAGAAAGGGATTTCGTTTTCAACGTACACATGGTGCATGTCCAACAAAAACCTGGCCTGGTCTTGTGGACTGGCAACAGCAGCATTTGGATCCGTTCCACGTGAACTCCAACCAGTCTCTGCGATTTCAATATTCTTGTGAGCTAACTCAGCTGTCATACGTAAGTTCCTTAGACGATCAAGGACTCTGGAGGCAGCTTCGTTGCTTTGGACGCGCTCCCAGAAAGGAAAGTAAATGATGTTAACGAAATCCACCGCATCGGTAAGCTTTGGGTTTGCCACGTAGGTATCAATCGTTTCAGCGATCGTGACAGGTGTGTCAAAGCCGCTTTGGCGAATTTGATCACGAACCGAATTCAGTTGAGTAACGGCAATATCCGCGTCAACTTGCTCACGAGAGATTGATTGAGACCCTACGTCCACCGCGACGACATTGTTGTCGTATAAGCCCGACTGAATAAGACTGGCCAATTGGTCCTTTCCATTCTGCATTTGCTCTTCGCCCTTGGACACCCAGATACCGAGATGCACCTTAAGGCCGGCTTTCTTGGCAGCAGGTAGTACGAGCGAGGACACGTTGCAGTCCAACAAATTATTGATACGAACTCGTTCCGTTACCGTTGCGAGCGTTTCCATATCCTTGGCCACCTCGGCTTCGGTCTTGCACTTTCCATCAACAGAAGCCCATTCAGGTCCCTTACGGATGCTGTAGTTTACACCATAGAGCTTGACGTTAAGTGCATCCGCGTGATTAAGTGTTAGTGCCACGCCGGCGATGAGGGTAGGAATGAAGAGTTTCATGGGGAAAGTGCTGGTTTGGAGAGTGGTTGGTGGGACAATTTGTCGCAGAGGATGTGATGCCTTGCTGGAATATTGAATATTGACCTCGAAATGAAAAAACTTGTTCGGATCGAGTTGATCATCGACCATGCCCATTCTACCTCATTTGTTTAGAAAGATCAATACAAGTTTAAAATGTTGATGTTTACATGACATCCAGAATAGCATTATTACCTTATTCAAATCATTAAGGGCCAGTGGAATGTGCGTGGCCAATGGCGCAATCCACACATGTTGAAGATGATGGTGTAAGGATTCGGTTCATGCACCGTTGCTCCAAAGACTTCATGCTATATGCATCTATAATTTTACTCAGTGAATTGAAATAACTGTGAAAGGAGGAAATTCTGGCTGTTCACTTTGCATGAAGGGGGGAAGCGATAGATTTTTTCATGTTTGTACAACTATCATCACTATACTGCGGATGGACTATGGGATCTTTCAATGCATATAAAAGCTTCCTTGATCTGGGAAGTCTGAGTACTTTCGTTACAAACGGGTTGCAAATGTACACGCGAATTGGCGAAAACGAGATTCTAGAATGGTAGGACTGAAGTAAGAGCTTGGGACCCTTTGCCGTGCAGCTTGCTGAATATTATTGGATTACGCCAACGGCGATTACGATCAGAGTTAGTAGCTTTTTTGACCTCAGCCATTTAAATGCTATCTCATGATGACGTAGCATGGTGTCGACTTCAACTTAAAAAGACTGTTTGGGACTAAACGCGTATCTACGAGTAGCTTTTGTGGCTGCTCTGCACGTTTTTCGTGATTTACGCTTGCAACACAGCACAGATTCCCAGATTCACAAGAAAAGGGCTGTGATCTCAAAGCTTCGTCGGTCTGGGTTGTACTCCTTTCTTTACCGTCTTTTGAGCGTTAAGAAAACTACGTGGCTTATTGATAATTTAATCAAATGTATCTACATTTGATAGCAGGCATAAACCACGTCGGCTGGCGGGTTCCACTGCATAATCGATCTGATAATTGAAGGAGATTGATGATGTCTGTGATACAGATGTTTGATAATGGAAATAGCGTCTGAAGGTGATAGATATTAGAGTATGAGCTGAGTTACAAAAGGCATAAAAGTTCTACTTGAGAGAGAATTTGTGACTTAAACTTATAAGAAATGACATTTATGACATTTACGAGGCTAGAAGATGAGCTATGCGAACATAACCGCAGCAAAGTATCAAGAAACTTGAGTGGATTGCTCTTTCTGAAGACTTCAAATAATCACGACCAAAAGTGCAACGTATAGTGCTAAAGTTGCTGTGCTTCGCATAATTATAATCATTGGATTTCTGGTCAAGATGGTTAGAGCATTCTATACATGTTTCCAGATTCAGGTAAATACGTCATATAAGTACGGATACGTTATGTTAAAGTCACATACAATACGATTCAACAAAAATAAAGGCAGAATTGATTATATACTACACAACTGCCCATCTCAACCCTTATTCGTCACGCTCGCATATGACAGATCTCAAGCTCACACTGGGTTGCTGCGTCGATACACAGCGACCAAACACGTTTTTCTTGTTTGAAGTAAGGGCTTTCTGACTTTATTTTAAATAAGCTTTCTCAACAATTAATTAGATATGGATGTTGGCTAAAATAATAACTCATTTATCAAAAATTCAAGATATAAAGCTTACTAAACACGTTGACATGAAGTCACTTTCTGTCGCCATCTATGCGCTTATCTAACGCATCCTTCGGCTTATTAGCTGACAAGCCAGATGCCCGTGTTGGGGTCGCTATGTGCATGCTGGGTTCCAAACTTTATCGCTCGCTCTTCTTGCTCGCTTTGCTACCCGCCTATCCAACCTCGCGTACTATATTCACACTGAGCCTCTACTCATATATAAATATTTATGTAGGGCAGCGTCTTTACTAAGTACAACAGTCATGCATTATGCAGCGTATGCAGATAATTTCTTGCAATTTTGTGATCTAAAAATATGCATGACTTTTGTGTAGTTGTAACGGAATTACACGTACCCTGGTATACACGGGTGGGGTGGGTCACGTGACCGTAAAAAGGTGTGGATTACACAAGTCAGTGTAATCACGCAATGGTGTGGCTACAACGTAACAAGAAGCCACTACGTGGCGGAGCTACCCAACAGTTGTGCATATTAATTAGGTTTTACTATTTTATAAGGAAGACCTAAGGTTTTAGATATAAGCGGCTCTGCCGCAAATAAACAGTTAACACTGTTTTAATTTTGAACGGAAGAGCGTCTCTACCTTAGTTAAGTTTCTTACGTACTCTTGAAGGTAGCGGATTGCGATCCGCTACACTCGTACTGGTTCTAGTATAGAGCGAAGGTCGGTGACTTCAAGTAAGCTTCCTCTATGCAAAGAGCTACGGCGAGCCCGCTGCACTTGGTAGCACTTGTAGTCAATTTACACCTGAGTCGTTACGACTGATCCTCTGCGAAGATGGAGCAATTCTCCTATTTGCCTCAGGGCATGAAGGACGGGCTTGATAAGCTGATGTCCCTGCTTGGCCCTGAGGGCGTGCATCACCTTGCTTTGCAAGGACCAAAAGCAATAAGCGCGCGCCTAGAGGCGTTCTCAAACTATGAAAATGCTCTGCTAGAGCACCTAGAGAAGATGGAGTCGACCTTGATCGCGTTCATGCCATCATCGACGACAGATGACTCCTCCTGACCCAGGCCGCTCATGGTGAGCGTAAGACCTTCGAAGGTAAGGGCGGCGTGAATCTCCTGCTCTGGGTGAGAGAGGCCGAGATGGTGATGGCATTCGCCATGCTCCATACCGGGGCTGCTGTCCACCTCGCACCAAATTATCATCGACTCAGCGAGTCTGCGTTGACAGATGCGCAGAGGTTGGAATCGTACGCTCTATTGGTCCAGAACAGAGAGCCGTATTGTAGTTAGTTGACTAGGTTGCTCTGCTATTCATAAATGACACATATTTGGAATTTTTTTAGCTGTACTAGTACAAACATTACGGGAAAACGTGCTGCACCAAACGACTACTTAGCAAAGGGTGTGTCAGAGTGACAGGGCAATCTCGCCGAAGTGGAGCCTTACAGTTCCATGTCCTTTAGAGTGAAATTATTTTTACTACATAGTGTACTGGGAACAGCCCTTATGTACTTGTATACTTTTAAATCCTTTCGCATGAAATATGGTCAAACCTTGTTCACACAAATGGCACCGGCGAGATCGGCCATTCTGCAA